CCTCACACTCACTCCGGCAGATCTTGCAGCTACAATGTCAATGGCTGCATCTCGCATCCGAGCATCCATCTCTCAATATCAGATGGAGGCTACCCACACCGAGGAGCCTTCTGCTGCTTGGATCATGCACTTTAAAGCTGGGCTGCAATGGGAGATAGCTGTAAGAGACTGATGACTGTGGTGGTCAATGCTGACATTTCCAACAGACTTTTGTGACTCCCCTCCTGCAGTACTCAGCTGCAAGGAACATCATTTTGGTTGTTCCGAGCCCGGTCACTCATATTCTTCGGTTGATTCCCGAGCTCACCTGGAACATGGTTTCGGACGATGTCTTTTCATCCCACCTGTGCAAGTTCCATGATGTTGCAGATCTGGGGGATCCCTCCCGGATTGTATCAACCTATAGAACTCAATGGTAGACCGGACCAACTGCAATCCCGAAGGAATTATGGGCATGGGATCAGGTATTCGCCAATTGTGTCTGTCACTACCAGCATTGGCTAGTAAGATTTTTACCAAATTTCCTTGAATGGTTACTGATCCTTTCTAGTCTGGCATTGAGGACAAACATCTTGTTGTTCCCAAGCAGGTGGCTGAAAGCTCGGTTGCATCACTGAAGGCACTGAGGTGGATGAGAGAACGCCTCCTGACAGTGATTGAGGATCAACAAGATGGCATCCGTGAAAAGATGGCCGAGATTCAGATGTACACAGCCGTCCTAACCAAATTGAAGCCAAGGGGACCGGAGTAGTTCTAGTCCTTCAGTTCAGAATGTTGAAGTCTAAATTCTGTACATGATGTAATAAGTACTGAAAATTAAACACTGACTTCCAAATATATGACCTATTGCTATATGCCGAGTCCCGCATACCCAATGTCGAGTATCAAGAGCCAGATATCTTGAGTCCCGAATGTCAAGTCCCGAACATTGAGTCCTGAATATCAAGACCGGAATATCGAGACCCGAAGCCCAAAGGCCAAGATTCGAGACTCGACACAAATCTCAATACTCAATGCTCAAAACTTGACGCAAACATTTTTACGAGTTTCGAGTTTTGAGTCCCCACTATCGAGTATCGAGTGCCAACTACCGAGTCTTGAAACCCGAGTCCCGACTATCGAGTCCCGAAGCCCAAAACCCGACGCCCGTGTATGGAGTCCCGACCATTGAGTATCGAGTGCCGAACATTGAGTCCCGAACATCGAGTCCCGACCGGTACTTGGTACTCAGGCGTCAGGTGTTGGGTGTCGGTACTCAGATTTATGCGAGTTTCGGGTTTCGAGATTCGAGATTCGAGTTGAGTACTGACACCCGACACCCCGACACCCGAGATTTGGTACTCGGTACTCGGTACTCGGTGATTCGAGTCTCGGGATTCAAAACTCAGATTTATGAGAGTTTCGAGTTTCAAGATTCGAGTTTTGAGTTTTGAGTTTCGAATCGAGTACCGACACCCGAGTACTGACACCCGAAACCCGAGATTTGGTACTCGGTACTCGGTGATTCATGTGTATCATCGGTACTTGGGTGTCAGGTGTCAGGTGTCGGTACTCGATTCGAAACTCGAAACTCGAACACACAAATCACTGAGTACTGAGTACCGAGTACCGAATCTCGGGTGTCGGGTGTCGGTACTCGGGTGTCGGTACTCGGTACTTGGGTGTTGGGTGTTGGGTGTTGGGTGTTGGGTGTTGGGTGTCAGGTGTCAGGTGTCAGGTGTCGGTACTCGATTCAAATCTCGAAACTCGAATCTTGAAACTCGAAACTCACATAAATCTGAGTTTCAAATCCCGAGACTCGAATCACCGAGTACCGAATCTCGGGTGTCGGGTGTCAGGTGTCAGTACTCGATTCGAATCTCGAATCTCGAATCAAGAAACTCGAAACTCACATAAATCTGAGTACTGACACCCAACACCCGACACCCGAGTACTGAGTACTGAGTACCGAATCTCGGGTGTCGGTACTCGGGTGTTGGGTGTCAGTACTTAATGAAATACAATTTTGGGAGTTGTCTTCTTGAATCACCGAGTACCAACTACCGAGTACTGGGTTTTGGGTTGCAGTACTCGGCACTCGGTACTCGGTGATTCAAGAAGACAACTCCCAAAATTGTATTTCATTAAATGTGTATTTTCTTGACTCAAAAATCGAAACTTGAAACTCGTTAAAATGCATGAGTGTCATTGTTTTGAATTTGGAGTATTGAGTTGTTTTGAGTCTCGAATGTCGTCCTTCGGGTTTCGGGTCTTGATCTTCGGGACTCGGTGGTTGGGATTTGGGCTTCGGGACTCGATGTTCGGGTTTTGATATTCGGGACTCGATGGTCGGGCTTCGGGTCTCGGGTCTTGATATTCGGGACTTGATGGTCGGGCTTCGGGTCTTGATATTCGGGACTCGATCGTCGGGACTCATTGGTCGGGCCGAGTACCGCAACCCGAAACCTGGTACTCGGTAGTTGGTGAAATGTGTACAATAACACTTTCGAGTATCCTGCAATATCAAGTCCTGGCTATCGAGACCCGAAACCCGAATTACGAGTATGGAGTGCCTGATATCTAATATCATGTATTTGAAGGTGGGTACTAACACGTGTAACTACCTTTTCTACTTCCAATCCAACCTTGCCCATCCACACGACGGAATCCCGGCATAAATATGAACAGCATCCCTCATATACCATGCCCAGGCAATCCGATCCCCTTCCACTGCATGAACCCCGTGTCTGACAATCCTTCCCGAAAAAGCAATCATACACCCCGGATCGTACCTGAACTCCAGCTGAAGGCTTGGCATACTCATCCGAGCATTAGAATAATTCCCCACGCTAGTGAGAATATCAAAGCATTCGGGAATCGATGAATGGTCTCGATGATTCGGGGTTTCCCGATTGCAAATCACGGAGAGGCTGTTAAACACAGTTGCCCAGTACTGGAGAGTCTCTGACATCTTCGGCAGTTGCTTGCTTCGTGCTTTTTCTTCGAGGCTCGCAACCCTGCCCAGTACTGCTCAGGATGCATAACCCTGAGTGCTGCTGTCGCAATGGCTGCTGGCCTCGCAATGGCCTTCAGGATATCCTCTGAGGATGCTCCATTCAATGATGCAGAAACCGCCGGGTCTACCTGATTCTGGGGGATTCGTGAGCTTAACTACCTAGATCGCCATCTCATCAGATCCTACCTCGTGCCCCTGCTGAAACCATGCCAGAGATAAATTAATGCATCCGGGAGTTAGGACATCATTTTGCGACCTTGGTGTGAACCACTTTTGATTAGTACGCCAATTCCCATTGAGCTTTATGCTTTTTTCAAGTATCGGAGCGAGCAAATCCAAGGCCACCCAAATTTCCTTCTGTAGGAACCATTTGATGTTCAATATCCATCCAGTAACAATATATATAACACACCTGGGTGGCATCGGTCAGGGCGTCCAGGAGGTACCATGCGATGATGGCACCGGATGCATCAAGAATTGTCGCAGGTATGTCAATCAACTTTGTGCCCTCATGGCCAGGAGGACACCTCTCGAGCAACCTCGCCTCTCTCTCTTCATTATGCCCTGTGTCCTTCGGGGAGATCAATTTGCTATATCTTGCAATATTGATCGGCATCTGAACTGTGATGAAGCAATTTGACTGGAAGACTCACTGGGATTTTTATATGCCTTTATGAGCCGATCAACCAATCGATCACAAGCCATCACCAGATCAGTGTCTAGGTTTGGAGAAGGTATAACTGGGTCTCCTCCTGTCTTCTCTGCATTGAATTTCTGTTCGGTATATTCACATGCCACATGAGTGACAGTCAGGGCCCAAGTGCGCAAGAGGGTTATTTCATCATCGGAAGTGGAAGAAACATCCATGATTGAATTGATCTTGTGAGATCAGAAGCTGAATCCTGGATGTCTGCACTTTGGTGTTAAAGGGGTGGAGATAGAGAGGATCAGATAAGAGAGCCTTGGATGATCTTAGCTTTCAAAGTTCTATTATCTATTATCAATTGCTCAATGAAATACCAGATGCTTGGAAGTCTGTTGGATATCTGATATTCGTTTGTCGAGACCTGTGCCTCGGATCTCGGTACACTTCACTCGATTTTCGATACCCGGGAGTCCATGGTCGGAACTCGAGTCTCGAATCTCGGGCTTCGGGTTTCGGGTCTCGATGGTCGGGACTTGATGTTCGGGACTCATGTTTTGGGACTCCATAGTCGGGACTCCATAGTTGGGACTCGATGTTCAGGACCCGAAACTCGCAAAAATATATGAGTTCCAAGTTTTGAGTTTTGAGTTTTGTTTTGTTTCGAGTCTCGATGTTCGGGACTCAATAGTCAGGACTCAATACTCAATAATCGGGATTTGATAGTTGGGGCTCGGATCTCGGGTACACCACTCGATTTTCGGTAGTTGGAACTTGGCATTTGGCATTTGGTAGGCTTGGATGATGTTGGCTTTCAAAGATCTATTATCATCCATTGCTCAATGAAATACCAGATGATTGGAAGTGTGATGGATATCACATATTCGTTTGTCAAGACCCGGGTCTTGGAACTCGGTACACTTCGCTCGAGTTTCCACTTCACCCCTTTGCAAAGCTCCGTGCCATACTGCAAGACCTTCCTCTTCTATCTAAATGCTTTGATGAACAGGGCCTGGAACACGAGTTTCCACTTCACCCCTTTGCAAATCTCTGTGCCATACGACATCATTAGATGACTTTGAATTATTACCTCCTTTGATTTGGATGATATACAACTACCTGAGCTCCATCATGTCTACAATTATCATTCTCCTGGGCCCACCCGTCTATATTATATACCCCCACGTCGGCCTACCTGTCTATGCAATATACGACTACCTTCGGCCCACCCGTATATATAATAAATATTTTACCGCTCCCTCAGCCCACCCATATATATAATAAATATTTCACCACTCCCTCGGCCCACCCATCTACAAAATAATACCAATATGTCGGCCCACCCGTCTACAAAATAATCTTAATTCATCAGCCCACCCGTCTAACATGATATATATCTGGGCCCACCCATCTATGTGATAACAAGCACCCTTGACATACCTGGCTATTTGATACACATCTACCTTGGTAAACCCATCTACATAATATCCAACTACCTCGGCCCATCCATCTATTGAATATTCATGTCCATCGGCCCACTCATCTACTCTACATATTCCCTACATGGGCCCACCCGTCTCCATCGGGAATAATAACACTCCCGGCCCATCCGTCATAGTCGAGGATATATCTACCTTTGGCCCATGGTTTGCTGGCCCATATCATATGGGATATTATGCACGTCCTTTCACTCGTATAATACGGAGATATGTTACTGCAATATGTGTGGTAGTATCCAAACCAACATTGCTATGCAAATCATGTCATGGGTCATGATAAATGTAGTAACAATCATGGATGCACCTGGAAGCCGACAATGCCCCTGGAAATCTCATGTGAGTGTCCAGTGGCCCAGCACTGAAAAGGAACCACCAAACCTGGACCACCACAACTAAGGGACTGCCGCACATGTATGATATCGCTCGCATGAAGCTTGAGGCCTATGATCACACCGAAAAGGCATGTCTGCAAAAAGAGCTTGAAGACAGTCATGAACTCCCAGAACAAGTGCGACGTACCCCTGCATGATCTTCGAGTGGGAACGCACGGAATGTGCACTGTGAGTGACTGGAGGGGGGAGGGCTCAATTTCCACCGAGCATTCAGTCCTTTGCGAGAGGTGCTGAATGTGCTGTGGAATGATCAGTTAGTTTAATGGCTCTGGGAGTATTTGAAGGCATTGTTGTCACCATGGGTGAGATACGTCAGATTTGCCAGGTACGTAGCCTCCTTTGACAGCATTGTTGGCCTCGCTGAGCGGCTGGCTCAGGCCTTGAGAAATCTCTTTGTAGGACTCGAACACTTACACAGAGTACTCAAAAGTAGGAATTCTCCTGCTCGTCATTTTCAAGCAGGCTGTCTCATACTCATGCTGGCTCAGCAATTCCTCTGTATGTTCACCTGTGGCATCATTATGGATTGAAATTTCACAAAGAGGGCGACAGAATCTCACCATCGGCAAAAAACACAAAGGCATTCTGCTCATCGGCTGCAGCCATGAACTTCTCACACAGGCTCTCAATTTCTGTGTGAGGATTTGCCATAGATTTGCCTGTTCTGTCGTAAGTCTGGAGGTGTCATTCCTTTACTTACCTCGACAAAGCCGTCCAGCCTCGTCCACACCCATGCATCGCCAAAGTGCCTCTAGTTGGTCGTACTTGCGAATGTGCACCTCACACCACCTCTAGAATTTGTGTAGTTGTGTATGCAACCTATGAACCAGGTTGAACCTCCTGCGTTGGTTCAACGCCGGATGGATTTACTTAGAAGTGGAGGCAATGAGTCTCGTGGCGAGAACCAAGTGGACCGATGAAGCATCCGAGCGACATCGTTCATTGAGGAACTCAGTCCAGGAGTGGACAAGAATATCCGAATTCCTGAGCGACGAATCTTATAGTAGGAGCTGATGGACCAATGGCTGAGTATGTGAATGGCTCTGCCTTCGACAGGTGCTACCGAAGGATGAAGATTGTAGAAGGGGATTTGTTGGGATGGCAAGCGGTGAATATGACTTAGCAGCTGATGGTGTGATATTGGGTGTGTGAGGGGTCAATACCTAGTTCTGAGTCAAATAAGTTGATTCGGGCAGGGACTCCATGAAGCGCTTCGAGCCTATGAGTTTGCAGTTAGTGGTATGAATCTGGACAATCCCAGACCAGCTCACCACTTTGCGTTTCCTTGTACAACCTCCTTCTTGAGCCAGGGTAAACATTCAGGCCCAAGGTCTTGTATTGCTGCAGGATCGTTCAGTTCCTCAGGCCTCAGGCCTGAGCAGCAGCAAGTGCAGGAGTGATGTAAAATATTCAATTGAAAGAAATGGGAGCCCAGAGTCTGGCGTGTGAGGGCATTCAAGCAATTGGTGAGTGTTGTGAATTGCTCAAGTTGTGTATGATAATCCAATCACGTATCGTCTCAGTGAATCTGCATAGATCTCTGATTAGCCTATCTTAGTTGTTCCTGGTAAGCAGCAGTACTTTTATTACATATCACATCGACAGGACCTGCTTGATGCACCTGATTCAAGAAATATCCTCCAATCTTCTGCTCCTTTCCTCTATTTGAGACTCGACAGCTCGATTCAGGGTGCACTCTTGTTGGGAGTTCGTCCTCAAAAGCGGTTCATGGTACGCCGAGCTGAGCATGTTGTAGTCGGAACTCAGGACATGGTATCCACCAAAAGTGTTCTAATGACAAGTTTCTACCCAGGCAAGTGGGAGAGAAACGGGCTTAATGTTGTGACTTTGGGGGAGCTGCAAGGGGAGAGGTGTCCCAAGGGAGAAAGCTTAGCCATTGTGTGACAGGGCAAGTGCAACCATGACCAATTCAGCAGCGAGAGATGGGAGGGAGGGCAAGGATTTATCGGGTGTATGGGTGACAGGATGGGAGAGTGCTAGGGCGCTGGAACCAAGTACTGGTAGAGGAGGAGTTGGGGGAGCTACCTGTGATGGTACTTTGATCATTGAATGCATGAGGTAGCTACTACTTATCATCGAGAGTGCACAGCTGTGAATGCCTCTTTGAATGGATACTTGAATATTCCCTCATGAAGCTAGCTGGCATGGTTATAAGTTGTGTTCCAAGTCATACTCGTTGAAGCTTCTGGTCACGTGCAGTTGATTTCACTGAGGTTACTAAGTATGAGACGAGCCAGCTCGCACATTTACTATAGTCCTCGCAGCCCTGGGTCATCAAATCAACATGCCTCTGAACCCTCCCTTCAACAATTACTGACTTCATCACTGTCAACAACACAACATCCACCATAAGGTGTGCTGGCAACACCTCATACCCAGCCAATTAAGAGCAAGGGAAGATGGAATTGCCGTTATGAATTGGGAAGGCCGGGAACTGGAGGATGGCACACCTGGCCTTCCCAATAAGTAGCTTTACTAATACTGGGCAATTACGTGTGTCGTCAATTATAATAATAGTCGTTTGCACTAAACGTCGACACCAGCCATAAACCTTGCCCCAAACCCTGTGCATCCTTAGGTATATCTATGTATAAGGCTCGGGGCAACAAGGTAGGTTCTGTTCTGTGTACCATTCTGTCCCCTTTTTGTCGCTTGCCGTCCCGATGCTCATCTGGCAGTTCCTGTTTTGTCGCTAAACCTTCCGCTCCTCTATATGAACTGTTCCCATGGCTTTCCCTTCCCCTCCCTCATCGTCATCTGTGATGTCGAGGCCATCAGCGCTCTCCTCTCCTGGGCATACCATCATTCCTTTCCCTTCCTCATCATCATCTGTGATGGATGTTGAGGCCATCAGCGCTCTCCTCTCCCGGACATAGCCCTTGATGGGCTTACCATCGCTCCTTCCCCTTCCTCATCATCGTTTGTGATGTTGAGGCCATCAGCACTCTCCTGTCTTGGACCACCCATCCTGGGCTCACCATTGTTCGGATCGCCTCCCCTCATCAGCAACTCTGTGCTGGACAGGTGCGTTATCACTGCGGCTACTGATTATGAGTTATGTATTGACACTCGTGCCTTTCAACAGTCTTGTCTCCTCCTCCGTTTCGCAGATGACTTCCCTGCCTCCAATATCGTCTCCTCAGACGACTTCCCTGCCTCCAATATCTCCTCAGACGACTTGCCTGCCTCATTGTCAAACCTCCCTCTCTGCCATATGAACTACTCCTTTTATTGGAAAGGTACATTGCTACCGTGGCTATTAATTCTAAGTATTGATCTTGTGCTGCTCAACAGTCTTGTCTCCTCCTCTGTTTTGCAGACGACTTGCCTGCGTCGTTGTTGAGCCTCCCTCTCTGCCATACGAACCGCTATTGTCTCACATATTCAGTATTGCATAATATATTTATTTGAAGTGTTTGAAATATCCTAGTGGTCAACCACTAAGATCAATAATCAAAGTTCGTTATGAAAGGGGCAAGACTCTCAGTATGTGTCATGCTATCAGGTACAGCCCCAGAAGCGGATACAGCTTGTGAACTTGAAGGAGCCGAAGTAGATGCCAAGGGCTGCACAGAATAAGGTGATGGCGCTGAGGGCTGTGTAGAGGGTGATGGCACTGAGGGCTGTGTAGAAGAAGGTGAAGGCAGAGGCGCCAAAGTAGATCCAGTGCCAGATGATTGTGTGTGTGGTGTGTTGTCCTCCTCGTCACTGCTCTCGATAGTGTCCAGGCTCTTGTAGGCCTTCTTGCGACATTGTGTGAGAGGTTAATCTGCTGGTCGAACACATTTTTTCTCCTTGTCCGAGCGACGCCGATGGGAGGGCTCAACAGCCGCTCCAGTCTTAAGCTTTTCTTGGTGCTCTTGAAGGAGTTGCTGATATTCAGCCTCGTCCAGGAGCCCACAATAAATAAGCTTGGTCTTCCACATGTCGAGCAGCATATCCAGCTCGGGAAGGGAACTAGAGGCTTCACTAAGGTTTTTGAATGGGATGTGGCCAGGCCAACCTTCGCAGATAACACAATAATGTTGAACAACATTGCGCCAGTAGTTGGCCCACTGCATCGTTGCCTTGGGCACGCCGGTAATTTCCTCTAAAGCATGTATAAGAATGATCTTATGGTTCCAAATAAAAAAAATGTATGAAGTGCATGGTTGATTTCTTGTCTTATTAGTGCCTGCTTTGCTGAGCAACGGTCCTTGTGATTGTGGGCAGCACCTGCCCAAATAATTTAGATATTGGATGGTCAAATAAATAGCAATACCAATGAACTAACCTCGCATGCCTTGAATAGCGAAACCTTCCATCTTGCTGACAAGGTCCTGGAAGTCAATATTCATTACAGACACCATGAAATCGTTGACGCCTTTGGTGGTAAATATTATACCACGCAATGGGAGGTCAGTAGACCCACGCACTGTGTAAAGAATGACTTACAAAAGGACATGAACTAGAAAATTAAAACCAGACTAAAAAAATAAAGTGGGCAAACAAAAACCATTACACCAAGCACCTTGAGAATCACAATCAGCAGCATTGAAGTCTAGGGGAGTGCATACAGATCAGTTTCATTGAATAAATACTTTGATATTCATACCTTTTTGATCCTGCCCAACGGAGTGCCATGCAGGTCTGCATGGAGGGCCTTCATTAAGTTAGCTGCCTGTTCATAAGTGAGATCCTAATGAGTTCATGGAGTTTGAAGATCGCCTCATCGCTGATTTTGAAGCAATCAAGCACAGCATCAGTATTGGGACTGATGCTGAGCAGGGAGGCGAAAACCTTAGGCTCCACATGGGTATGCTTCCTGAGCAACAAGAAAGCCTCGGCATTTCGATGCTGTTTTACCTTGGGGCTTCCGATAGAGGCCAAGGCCGTGGTGTGCTTCACAGCCGCTGACTTCACATTGGGTGGCACAGGTGACTTGGGCAAAGCAGCAATAACGAAGTTGCGCTGAAACTATCCACGAGAGTGAGCTGAACATTGAATTCGAGCCCAAGTAGGGGACAATGGCACAGGTAAAGACGGGGATCCAGTTGGGTTCACTGGAGTTGCAGCAACTGCAGGCGGGAGTAGTTCATATGTCAGAAGCAGATAAAAAAAAATGAATCCGAACATACACCGATGCGGAGGCGTGATATTTTCTTTGCTACAACGCTCCATAAAACGCTTGAGATAAGGTGTTGTGAACTCCTTGCAGAATGCCTGCACGAGGACAGATACGTCTCCTCCAATTTGTTCAGGCGCCTCATGCAGTTCTCATGGAGTGACATAGAGGTCGACTGCAATACGATTGGGAGTGATAGCATCTGTGAAGTGAGATCCTGGGCAGCGAATGAGAAGAGACAACCCACCATCAAGATGGTCTTGAGTAGCAAGCTGAGATGGTGCTAAGTCACACTCGACTTAAGATACTGATAGTACGTACTACATCAAACACATCCTCAAGAGCCGCCTCAACAAATTCTCCCTGAGTCAAACTCTGCCTCTCCGTAGACGATGGAATCTTGTTGAAGGCTATATAAGCAGGATGAAGACCACCAAGTGTTCTCGTGTGGGAGTGTGTGCCATCAAGATGTGATTCGTTTTGTAGTAGCGCATGAGCCACTGCTTGATGCTCCGCATCACTGAATCCTAGTGTGAAGTTAGAGTTAGAGCAGAGAGCTGCTATTCCAGCAGGGGTGAAGCATGGTAGACAATAGCTCAACTCATCTGCAGTTGAATCAACTATAGGGCTTGGCTTTGAACGAGTCAAAGAACACATTGTAGTGGTTGAGGGTGTGATGCAAAGAGTGAGTAGTGGTGCCTATCTTGGTATCTAGTAAAGTTGAGAGCGGCAATCTTGATTCAAGTCGTCTACTGGAAAGGTATGTACAACATACCTGGATCTTCTTAGAATATAATGAATATTGCTTGATGTTTCATATGTGTGTGCTGTGTCTTTTGTGAGGGTTGAAACATTTGATGGTTCTGTGATTGATAGCTTGTTGATAGCGTGAGTTCATACAACTGCGAATTTGGCAAGCTGCAAGTCCCCTGAGCACTGCAAATGTTCCAACAGTACTCAAATCACGGTAAATTTAGAGGCAATGATCTCTTGACCTACACATATATGAATGATTAGTTGGCTTTGTATTACATATGGTACGATGGCACAGTACATTGTTGTTTTGATTCTGGAAATCAATGCACTTTTAAATTTCATATACCAATGATTAGTTGGCTTTGTATTACACCAATGCACTTTACATATACAAATGATTAGTTGGATTTGTATTACATATGGCACGATGGCGAAGTACTACTGGGTCTAATGGATGATACAGATGAGACGGGGGAGTGAAATTGAGGATTTTGCTGTCGTTCTGGTTGGGATATACTCTTAGGCTGATAGAGGTGAAGGTATAATGGATGATACAGATGAGGCAGGGGGGTGAAATTGAGGATTTTGCTGTCGTTCTTGTTCGGATTGCTCATAGGCTGATAGTGGTGAATGAGATGGGGTGAAATTGAGGATTTCGCTGTCATTCTGGTTCTATTGGCATGTACTTCAACAAAACATCGAGTCTACTAATCTACAATAGTCGATATATAATCTGCAATGGCCTGGGTAGTCTGTATTTGTTCCTCGTACTCTACGAGGTCCGTAGCATGCCCCAAAATGATGGTGTCGTTGTGATCTGGGGAGTCGGAGTTGTTATTTGATCAAATATATTCAAAACCTGAAAGATGAACTCACCAGATGGATAATTCAAACCCTCTACTGTGCCACACTCATTCTCTGCCAAGGAGCCAATCCATTGTCCACAACGTCGAATACCTGTAAAACCAGATTGCGATTCAATCTCATCTAGCCGGAACAGGTGTACCAAATTAACTGTGGAATGCAGTTTCCAGCACTTCTGCAGCTCCCGACCAAGCGGAGGGTTGGAGTCAAGGAGTTTATTGATGGTCATAGATGTTCACGTGCCTTCATCATGAATGGCAGTCCACAAACGACAAACTTCAATGTTGAGATGTTCGACCTCTTCATGTGCACGACAAAGCTTGAAGAATTTGACCAGGGATTCGCGATGCGTGGGCTTGGCCCAGGCAAGTTCACGAATGTCAGTGCATGAATGTCGGAGAACATCGAACTCCCCCAGGAAACTGTAATCGGCTATATCCTTCCACGATAAGCGTGCTCGTGGAGGATTGAGGGCAGTAGCCTGCACGTTATACTTGTTGATGGCATTCCGAATTGCCTCTGAGCGTCTCTGTAGCACCTTTCCGATTTGTTGTTGTAATTTGTACCCTACAAATGGCAATCAGCTTCCGTCAAACACAATATCATTTGCTTACCCATTCCTGAAAGTGAGAACTTCGATAGCTCAAATAGTCGCATGACAACGAGACACTCTAATTCGTCAAGAGCTACTCAATACTTCTGGAGTGATACCTTGCCCTTGAACTTGTTGTATTCATCGCCTCCGACGGTCCATTGCTCTTCGATTGTAAGCTGACTCTCGATATGGGCAGTGTAAGTGGTGTCGACACGAATTTGGGCTTGACTGAGAGCGGTGTTAATTTGGTGTATGTCACCAACAGGGATGCCCGTCAGCGCCTGGTTGGCAGCCTCTCGGGCCTTGTTCCATTCTAACTGTCATATACCTGATCCGACTGCTCCAATACTGATATCTGCTCCGCTTTCCGACCCCTCCGCCCCATTCATCCTCCACTCTGTCCAATCACAAGTCCGCATTCCGCCCTACACTTCCGCTCAACCACTCAACCAGTCCCCTTCCATAACCTCTCCATTCCACTGGAGCTCTTTCCCCTTTTAGATATATGCCTTCCCCATTGGTACATAGACCCTTACTTCCGGATGACTGGTAATTCCTATTACCGCTCGATCGCTGATCCGATGCGTACATATTGATATCCGCCCCCACTTATGTCTTCACCTATGTAAAATACTTACAAACTATATCCTTGGTACATAGCTTTACTGCATAGTTATCCTGATCACTGCCTCATACATAGTAGTATATAACATATCATGTACTTAGATATTTTTCCTCAGTCTTAATATTACTTGTCTTCTCGCAGTTACCTCTTGTGAGAATTCTCAGTAGGACCCTGCCTCCTCTGGACACAAGTCTCAACTTGTTGTCACCTCCGACCCTCCGACCCTCTGCTCCGACTTAGAGCCGTGCTCTAAGTCCCTCCCTTATTACTCCGCCCCTATCAAACATCCTCCTTCGCCCCTCCGCATTATCCTCCACCTTCCCCACCCCTACCAACATTCCCCTGCTCCTATCCACTCTCCGCATCACTCCCCACCTTCTCCGCCCCACTCCTAGTCAGCCCACCACTAGGAGCTCTTACTTCCTGATCCTCAAAAGTGGACCAAAGCAGACCATTCGTCCTACCGTCAGACAATGTCAGACCAGCTCCAAATTCGGGGCACGTACTCGGCTAAGGGCACAGTGCAAGAGCTGAAGCCAAGCCCCGACCCCTCTGCCTCCTGAGTCGGCATGGTACCTAACAGCCATACAACATGGAAGGACGTGATGGAGGCATATATGGGTGACAACTGACTGTATTTAGAGGATGTATATCACCGGTCAAAAAGACAACTTACTTTAGGCCGTCAATCCCATTAGCATTGTCCTGTGATCCCAGAGCTAGCTTCTCCACTCTGATCGCGATGCCAGCAATCGCTTCAGTCTTGAGACGTCATTCAGCGGCAGAAGTTTAGGTGAAATTTGAGAGACATACGCTGAATAGTACGAGGACATGATCCAAGTCCTTTTCCCATCCAGCAATCTGGTCGCGATCTATCGCAACAAAAAACAGTTTCTTCCAAAACCCTTGTTCCTTTCTTGAGGCTACTTCACTGAGCTGTATGGCATCATCAGCTTCCAATGATGGTGAAATTGGTCCAGCTTACACGTTAAGCTGTGATAAAGCATGCCCCAGGTATCCTCGCAGATTGTTGTCGGTAGCACCTTTGGTGGCTCTCTCAAGGATTTCCCTGATAGTCTCGCACCTGTCGACTATCGCTAGGAAATCGGACTTGTTCTTGATCACTGACTATATAGACCTGAGCATCCTTCACAACAAATCTCCAAAGATTAAGCCAACTCACCTGCACAATAATCAAGATATTTGCGATCATCCCTAGGATACCTTTCGCCAGGTTGATGGGTACAAGGTCTTTCATAACATTGATGGCCGCTATTGTAGCGCCCAGCAGTTGGCTCACATTGTTGTCCAGCGAGTCCTTGGGTTCAGAAGAGGGTTGCTTAGCATTTGGGCCATTCTATGTTAGATTAAATATATATATGGTGGTGGCACATAGATATGTGCCTTCTTGCCTTCGACTGTTTAGACCTGTTCATGTTTGACTTTTTGGATGGCATCGTTTGGGTTGGTGTGGAAGAGGTTTACAGTGATTGGATGTGCGCCTCCGAGTCTGAGACTGCATGCCTCAAGTTACCCACATGGGGGAGTGTGAGAAACTACGGGTATGTACCAGTGTCTATCATACTCAATAGGACTCAGGGCAGTGTTGGGAGTGTTATCATTATGTGATGCCACTAGATGCACATGTCACACCACATTGCCATCCCACCTGGCCTTCCCAATAAGTAGCTTTACTAATACTGGGCAATTACGTGTGTCGTCAATTATAATAATAGTCGTTTGCACTAAACGTCGACACCAGCCATAAACCTTGCCCCAAACCCTGCGCATCCTTAGGTATATCTATGTATAAGGTTCGGGGCAACTAGGTAGGTTCTGTTCCGTGTACCATTCTGTCCCAATACTCATTCGGTTCCTGTTTCGTCACTTTCCGTCCTGATGCTCATCCGGCAGTTCCCGTTTTGTCGCTAAAGCTTCTGCTCCGCTATACGAACTTTTCCCATGGCTTTCCCTTCCCCTCCCTCATCGTCATCTGCAATGTTGAGGCCATCAGCGCTCTCCTCTCCTAGACACAGCCCTTGATGGGCCTACCATCATTCCTTTCCCTTCCTCATCATCATCTGTGATGGATGTTGAGGCCATCAGCGCCCTCCTCTCCCGGACATAGCCCTTGATGGGCTTACCATCGTTCCTTCCCCTTCCTCATCATCTTTTGTGATGTTGAGGCTGTCAGCACTCTCCTGTCCTGGACCATCCATCCTGGGCTCACCATTGATCAGATCGCCTCTCCTTATCAGCGACTCTGCGCTGGACAGGTGCATTATCACTGCGGCTACTGATTATGAGTTATGTATTGACCCTCGTGCCTTTCAACAGTCTTGTCTCCACTGTTTCGCAGACCACAAGAATTGTTCCTGCCTCCTAGGGTTAGGGTTACGTTCTGGAACATAACCCTAACCCCATGGCTTTGTGGTGAGACATTTTACAAACCCTCGTGTCATTCAACAGTCTTGTCTCCTCCTCTGTTTCGCAGACGACTTGCCTGCCTCGTTGTCAAACCTCCCTCTCCGCCAAACTAACTAACCCTTTTATTGTTGGAAAGGTATGTTGCTACCGCGGCTACTAATTCTAAGTATTGACCTCATGCTGTTTAACAGTTTTGTCTCCTCCATTTTGCAGACAACTTGCCTGCCTCGTTGTCAAACCTCCCTCTCCACCATACAAACCATTCCTTTTTGGTATGTTCCTGAATTGTATATGGCAGGGCACACCTCATTGCTAACCTTCTACCCCGCTATACAAAGCTCTTCCCACGGCCTTCCCTTCTGCTCCCTCATCATCATCTCACGTATTCAGGCTGTCAGCTCTCTTCACATACATCGGCTTGATGGCTTACCGTGGATCCTCTCACAAGGTTGCTGGCTTGTCAAAAGCTGCCATTAAACATGGCTACCACGGTCTCACTTGTCAGTCAAAGGTCTTATCAGCCAGTAAGCAAGGTCAATGGATGGAAGAGGTTCGAACCAGAAGGACACAAGAAATATCAGGTAAATCTTGATAACTTTTCCACCATGTACAAGTTCTTATGTGGACTACTATTAGAAATGTCATCTGTTGATCGCGAGGCAGTTGAGAACATGATCATTGACATTGGTGTAGACTTCGATGATGAACCGTACACAGCTCCACCTGGCGAAGAGGGCTTTGACATTAGCCACGAGGGCGGTGAATATGAGGTTTTCAAAGGTCTGTTGGAGCAAGTCGCTTCCTTATCACACATGTGAGTATCTTCAGTACACGATGAACTTTACTGCTAACTTTCATTTTCAGTCGCTATGTTGATCCTCGCACGTGCCGTGATCGCATTGAACTTCAAAGCGAGCAGTGGCACAGCCAAATTGACCAATTAGTTGATGCCTATCTGGACTACCGTTTACGCGATCATGGTGATGGAATGCCAAGCATAGCAAATGCTACCCCAGCCATTGAAGGTAGCGATTGCCTGTCACTGACTGGTATCGATCTCGTTGATCTGTTTGGTATGTCTTTTTTTGTTTTGTTGTGCTTGTCTGACTTTCTGCAGGCTGTCAACAGATGACATTGCAACCCCAACCATTCCATCGCTATCCCAACGAGACACTTGTCTATCACGGGTATCTGGGGTGCTCCCCACTATATCTGACCGTTGCAATTTCAATCTGTACCCTTGCAAATTATTGCCAATGCCATTGAACTTGTCTGAGATTTAGTATTGAGGCACAATGTAAGGCACTTTGCCATCTTCACGATGTAGGCCTTTGTGTGTGTCATTGTTCAACTCCAAGCCAATATTATATTATAGGTACCATATTGCCCATATTTGAACTCTCAATTTTCCGACGCATATGACACATACCTTGAGATATTATATCATGTGGACCACCGCTTGAATGAAGCATTACACTGCAACCGCAACTGGCGTCTACTCAATGCATGTCCATGTTGCACTTACAAACTCGAAGATGAGCCACCGCTAGCACTTGAGTGGCTTGTCTGTATCGATGATAACAACAGCCTCAAAAGATGGGTGTCCTCAACTTATGGCCTTACTGCACGGGAAGATTCTCGAAAGCCACGTTCTGACTACTGGGTCAATTGGACAACCGTTGATGAGTTTAAGGACGAAGTTCGAAGATCAGCGGTATGTTAACAACACGTGTACACTGCAAGGGTAAGCTAACTCGAGTAGCCCAGCAAATCAAACTCAGATCAACAAGATGACTGGGAAGATTTGGGAACTGTCCCAGTGGAATCCAGGACCAGCTTCAATTGCACTGAACAGTGGCGAAATGCTGAACTGGAGCAGCGGAAGAAAATGTTTTCTGTTTTTGACGAGTCTGGTATTTTCATCGCTGCATGCCGGCACCGCTTTGTGCTTCTCGCCTGTGATATGGTGCAGAGTGGCGAACTGTAGGTTCTATTTTTTTTATTTATCTGTGCATTATTCTAAATTGAACCTTAGTGCGAAATACCCCTTGGCTTTGATGAACCAGCTGCTGTCTGTTTTTGGTGCGAATGGCGGATGCGCTTACGATATTGGGTGTGCGTTCGCAAAGACCCTAGCTAACAGCAGTGTCGGTCCCCTCGCCCAAAACCTTAATCTATGCATGATGGTTGGTGTGTTTCATGGCCACGCTCATAATCAAAGGTGCCAACTAGATTGGTACCCATTGTTCATTGAAGGGACTGGGATGACTGAGGGTGAGGGATGTGAGCATATATTCTTGTCCTCAAATGATCTTGCCCGAAGCACTAGACATGTATCTACGTTTCATTGCCATCAAACAATCGAGGAGCATTTCGCCTTCTGGGACCAAGACAAATATGCAGCGTTAAGTAATTTCATTTCACACATGCCATATTATATTTTATCGACTAATATTGTTGACAGGCACCTTTTTACGAAACCATTACAGCCAAGCGCTAACCCTCATCCACACACTCTCTGCTGAACTGTCGCCCATTAAAGAAGCTCTCAACTTGACCGACACCGACTTTTCTCAGTTCCATGCTGATGAACGATCTTATCTCGAATCTCTCACAGAGCAGCCCCTCAGTGACCGACTTCAAATTCGCTATGTCCAGGTTCTTGATGATCTAGCTGAACGGTGGTGAGTTTGACTGGTCGTCATCACGTCTTCTTCGTCCCTTACTTATCTCATATAAGGTTAGTGTCAGGTACCGTGCCGACTCAGGAGGCAGAGGGGTCAGGGCTTGGCTTCAGCTCTTGTGCTGCGCCCTTAGCCGAGTACGTGTCCCGAACTTGGAGCTAGTCCGACATTGTCCGACAGTAGGATGAATGGACTGCTTTGGTCCGCTTTTGAGGATCAGGAAGTAAGAGCTCCTAGCGGTGGGCCGACTAGGAGCGGGGCGGAGAAGGTGGGGAGTGATGCGGAGAGTGGATAGGAGCAGGGGAATGTTGGTAGGGGTGGGGAAGGTGGAGGATAATGCGGAGGGGCGAAGGAGGATGTTTGATAGGGGCTGAGTAATAAGGGAGGGACTTAGAGCACGGCTCTAAGTCGGAGCAGAGGGTCGGAGGGTCGGAGGTGACAACAAGTTGAGACTTGTGTCCAGAGGAGGCAGGGTCCTACTGAGAATTCTCACAAGAGGTAACTGTGAGAAGACAAGTAATATTAAGACTGAGGAAAAATATCTAAGTACATGATATGTTATATACTACTATGTATGAGGCAGTGATCAGGATAACTATGCAGTAAAGCTATGTGCCAAGGATATAGTTTGTAAGTATTTTACATAGGTGAAGACATAAGTGGGGGCGGATATCAATATGTACGCATCGGATCAGCGATCGAGCGGTAATAGGAATTACCAGTCATCCAGAAGTAAGGGTCTATGTACCAATGGGGAAGGCATATACCTAAAAGGGGAAAGAGCTCCAGTGGAATGGAGAGGTTATGGAAGGGGACCAGTTGAGTGGTTGAGCGGAAGTGTAGGGCAGAATGCGGACTTGTGATTGGACGGAGTGGAGGATGAATGGGGCGGAGGGGTCAGATAGCGGAGTCGATATCAGTATTGGAGCAGTCGGATCAGGTATATGACAATGGCCGTGATGATCTCATCACAGAGTTGACGAACCTTGGCGTCAGTGATGAGCATATTGCATTGATTGGTCTGGGAGGCATGGGAAAGAGTTCTCTTGCCAAGGCTATCCTCAACGAGTCCCTTGTCATCGAGAAATTTGCTCATAGGCGCTTCTTCGTGACATATGATGGCCTCGATCCTTCCACCATTACGTTTGACACTTTTGTGACTCATTTCGCGGGAGTTCTTGCCATGCAGCTTGCTGAAGCTGATCCTGTAGGCCAAATATCTTCCTTTCTTTGTTTTGCTAGCGCCCTCATTGTCCTCGATAATGCTGAGACCTTCGAGGAGGCCAGTGGATCATCGGCACTCAGGGAAATACCACCAGCTATTGCCGACATTGCAAACATCCCCGGCGTTGTTCTGATTCTTACATTGCGTAGTAGAAGGAATGCACCGAATGTGCAATGGATAACGAAGGATATTCCACCACTGGACTTGAGCTCCGCTCAAGCGGTGTTCTTTCAAATATATCATAACACTGGTCGTAGTGATGCTGAAGAAGACATCAAGGACCTGCTCAGGGAATTGGATTTTCACCCCCTTTCCATCAACCTACTCGCAAATGCTACTCAGCAAAATGGCTGGTCTCCAGCGACACTGCTAAAGAGATGGGACAATAGACACAGCGCAGTACTAAAACACAGCAAGGGGAAGCTGCAAAGCTTGTCACTCACCATGCAGCTATCGCTGAGCTCGCCGTTGGTTGAGAAACCCGGAGAGGATGGTTAGCATGCTCTGGTCGCTATCGCTTTCTTGCCCCAGGGCCTCAATGAAACACTGGCTGGTGATTTGTTGCCATTGTTCCTGCAAATCGATACCATATGTGATGTCCTATGCAGGCAATCTCTCGTTTACCATCAAGGCAGCTTCATCAAGATGCTTGCGCCCATTTGACATTTTGTCTGAGATTCATTTCTACCACCTGATAGCCCTTGTTTGCAAGGAATATGCGCCTTCTACTATCATACTGTTAGAGAGTGTTCAGAAGAACACAATCACCATGCTGATATTGTTTTCTCGGATCACCTAAACATTGAGCACATAGTTTCCTTCGACCTTGCACACTTTCAGGATGGCGCGGACAAGATTTATGATGTTTGCTGGCGGTTCATGTGGTGCTTGGAGTTGCATCTACCTCGCCCAACTACCCTTGCCCCAGCTATTTTCAACATCGTAGAGAAGTCCTCCACGTGGATGCCAAAAGCAGAGTGCTTGTGGCAGCTAGGCTGTCTCTACTTCACTCTTTCTGTGAGCGAACGATTAAAGGCTTTCAAAGCTGCTGAGGCTCTTTACCTCACTGCTGGTGACCACGAGAATGTGGCACACTGTGTTTTATTTTTAAAAAAAATCCAATTTATTGTCCTTTGGGGTTGAAGACCCTATGTTGGACATAACCCTATACATGGTGTGGGGAATTCCCCCACTGTAGGCATAAAACCCCATCCTTTCCGCATCGTCTCACATCAGTTCCACATATTCCGCACGTTCCGCATTTCCCGCGCATCATCTGATGGGTTCCGCATTCCCACGCATCCTTTGGAACCCACCCGCACTATCCGATATTCTCATGCATCGTCGAACAACCTTTGCATGTCCTGTCCCCATCCTTCCAGGTCCATTGGTATGCTGTATCTCTCTTCCTGTTGCTTCTAACATTATCCGGATCACACTGACACATGCCCTTATGGCATGGACCCCTATTCCAGAGTATTGCGCCCATGTGCACTGTCTGCCTTCACTTCTGCTTCCTGAGAACTTACTAACTGTACCTCAGTGTTCCTTGAAAATAATCTTCCCTTTAAGTAGTGGTACTCAGGGCTTGGGTGTTTTTTATCGAATCCCATCTTTTATCTTCCCACTTTTCCTTCACCTTACTAGAGGACCGCTTTGACTTATGCCCACTATCAATCCAACCTTGTGATATACTTCCTTCGACTTGACCCGCAAGTTCCAATGAATCTATACGTTCTGCATTGTATCTGTTTGAGTTCCGCTTCATTCCATTTCATTCCGCTCGAGTTCCGCTTGTTCCACATTTTTGCGGATCCTCATCCTACCTGCGGTAGGGTTGATTAGGGTCGCTTAGACAGAGATTAGCACTCCCCAGTAGCAATCCCCTTTAGGGTCGAATGTGCTTGTTTCCAAGCGAGGCAGCAGGCAGCAAAGACCCAACTATGTCAGACCCTTCAGTCATATATAGCGTAGAACCCTGTCATAGGATATGTACAAAGCATCAAAGAAGAGGGTGTACCGGCCATCGGCCGGGGGTACGTGGACATGGTAGTGGCCGGCCTATTTGATAATCACTAGCTTATGATCCATAGATATGGTTTGTATAAAGCAATACCAGTGAACTATCCTTGATTGTTTTTCAGGAAGGGGCCTACACCACTTCTACAAGGGCAGGCCTGTGTGGGCCTGGGCATGTGGGGATGGGGCAGCCGACTCCACATTATGACATCTGGTGTACCTGGTGTATATCAATACCAGTGCACTATCCTTGATTTTTTTTTTAGGAAGGGGCCTGCACCACTTCTACAAGGGCAGGCCTGTGTGGGCCTGGACATGTATGCATGGGGGTGGCTGGCCCCAAATTATAAAATCTGGTTCACCTGGTGTATATCAATACCAGTGCACTATCCTTGATTGTTTTTTCAGGAAGGGGCCTGCACCACTTCTACGAGGGCAGGCCTGTGTGGGCCTGGGCATGTGGGGATGGGGCGGCCGACCCCACATTATGACATCTGGTGTACCTGGTGTATATCAATACCAGTGCACTATCCTTGATTTATTTTTCCAGTAAGGGGCTTGCACCACTCCTACCAGTGTAAGCTTGTGTGGGCCTAGGCATGTAGACATGGGGGTGGCCAACCTCATTTGTTTCAAGGTGAGGGCCTCTGGGCCAATTGATTGTGGGTGGCCAACCTTCCATTATACAAACTGTGGTACATATATCAATCACCAGTAATACTGGTATGGCTGCTCAGTAGGGGTTGGCCACCTATGAGGGTGGGGGCATGGCACAGGAAGGGCCAACCCATGGTTTCCCAGTAGTGGTTGGCCACCCATAGAGGTTGGGTCATGGGTCTAGGGTGGCCGACCCCTGGTTTCCTAGTAGTGGATGGCCACCCATATAGGTGGGGGCGTGGGACTGGGGCAGCTGGCCCATGGTGTAGGTGGGGGTGTAGGACTGGGGCAGCCGACCCATGGTTGCCCAGTAGGGGCTTGCTGTTAGGTACTGTGCCGGCTCAAGAGGCAGAGGGGTTGGGGCTTGGCTTCAGCTCTTGTGCTGCGCCCTTAGCCGAGTACGTGCCCTGAATTTGGAGCAGATCCGACGTTGTCCGACGATAGGATGAGTGGACCACTTAGGTCCACTTTGAGGGTCGGGAAGTAAGAGCTGCTAGCGGCAGACCGACTAGGAGCGGAGTGGAGAAGGTGGGGAACGATGCGGAGGGTGGGTAGAAACCAGGGGGATATTTGATAGGAGCGGAGATGGCGGAGGATAATGTAGAGGATAGGAAAAGGGGTGATAGGAAGATATTGATAGGGGCGGGGTAATAAGGGAAAGACTTAGAGCACGGCTCTAAGTCGGAGTGGAGGGTTGGAGGGTTGGAGGTGACAACAAGTTGAGACTTGTGTCCAGAGGAGGCAAGGTCCTACTGAGAATTCCCACAAGAGGTAACTGCAAGAAGACAAGTAATATTAAGACTAAGGAAAAATATCTAAGTACAGGATATGTTATATACTTTCTATGTGAGGCAGTGATCAGAATAACTATGTAGTAAAGTTATGTACCAAGGATATAGTTTGTAAGTACTTTACATAGGCGAAGACATAAGTTGGAGCGGATATCAGTATGTACGCGTCGGATCAGCCATTGGGCGGTAATAGGATTTACCAGTGATCCGGAAGTAAGAGTCTATGTACCGAAGGGGAAAGCGTATGTCTAAAAGGGGAAAAGGATCCAGTTGAATGGAGAGGTTTATGGAAGGGGACCGGTTGAGCGGTTGAGTGGAAGCGTAGGGCGGAATGCGGGTTTGTGATAGGACGGAGCGGAGAGGGTCGGAAAGCGGAGTGGATATCAGTATTGGAGCGGTCGGATCTGGTATATGACACTTGCCACCCATATAGGTGGGGTCGTGGGGCTGGGGCGGCCAGCCCATGGTGTCCTAGTAGGGGATGGCCACCCACATTGCTGGGATCGTGGGGCTGGGATGGCTGCCCCATGGTTTCCCAGTAGGGGCTGGCCACCCATATGGGTGGGGGTATGGGACTGGAATGGCCAACCCCTGGTTGCCCATTAGTAGGTGCTGGCCACCCGTATTGGTGGGGGTGTGAGACCAGGGCAGCCGGCCCATGGTTTCCCAATATGGGATGGCCACCCATGTGGTGGGATCATGAGGCTGGGGCGGCCGACCCATGGTTGCCCATATGGGTGGGAGCTTGAGGCTGGGCAGCCAACCCATGGTGTCCCAGTAGGGGATGGCCACCCACATTGATGGGAGCTTGGGGCTGGGATGGCTGCCCCATGGTTTTCCAGTAGGGGCTGGCCACCCATATGGGTGGGGTCGTGGGACTGGAATGGCCAACCCCTGGTTGCCCAGCAGGGGTCAGTGTTTGCATATTAAAACTTCTTAAGATGCAGTATGTTCAATAAGAAAGTAAGCCTTCACTCTTTACAATCATGACACAGTGTTTGAACTTCATCTATAGGTAACCAGCACCTTGTGCAACTGACTCTGGACAAAAGTGTTCAAGCCATGGTTCCTCAGTAGAGGTTGACCACTCATTTAGGTGAGGTGTGGCACTGGGACAACTGACCCATGGTTGCACAGTAGGAATTGACCACCCATGGAGGTGTGGGCATGGCACAGGGACGGCCGACCCCTGGTTAGCAAGTAGGGGCTGGCCACCCATGTAGGTAGGGCCCCATGCTCCCAGCGATGTGGGTGGCCAGCCCCTACTGGGCAACCATGGGCTGGCCGCCCCAGCCTCACACACCCACTCATATGGGTGGCCATCCCATACTGGGCAACCATGGGCCGGCCACCCCAGGCCCACGCCCCCACCAATACGGGTGGCCAGCACCTACTGGGCAACCATGGGCCAGCTGCCCCAGCCTCACACACCCACTCATATGGGTGGCCATCCCATACTTGGAAACCAAGGCTGAACAAGGAGTTGAGTGTGATATATTTTAGAATTTAACAAGCTATGACTATCCTGTCACAATCATCTTCCCTTCAAAATTTACAACACCTTCTGCCACAAATTTTGACCACATAGCAGCCTGCTTCTCTGCATATGCTTCATGACCCTTCTGTGTGCTTTTGAGAGCTCTCACACTCCACCTGTCCTCCTGCTTCCGAAACCACAATACAGTCCAAAACATCTCATGTCATACTAACTGTAGCTCTTCATTCCATTGATCATATCTTGCTTTGGCTTTTAACCAATTGACTTGATAAACTGGAGGGGCAAACATAAGGCTAATACAAGAAAGATGACCATTGCACTCACACTCATTCATCCACTCATTCTTCTGACTGTCCCTCACATTATTGATTCTCCAAAACCAGGCTAGTCTATCAGATGATTGACTGTGTCTGTTTTCCTCCGTGATGTCCTTGTTCACTACCAGATCCTTTGTGTTGAGGGGTTGATAGACCTCGAGAGTATGTTGGTCAACACCCAAGTGGATCATTGCAGTCCTTGCCCGTCAATACCCTTGTGCATGTTTGTTGATAGACAGTGTTATCTTGTGCAGTTCATGCTTGGATCTTTTGCCTTGATGATGGACAGCCTTGTTCGAGTGTATCTTCTCCCAAAATACCACTGATCTGTCACCAAGGGCTTGATGAAGCTTTTCTAGACAGTCATTGGCTTGACCCCTTCGAAGCTCCAGCTCTTCTTGTCTTAATCTTAAGAGAGTATCGTCAAAGCCATGGTCTGAAGGTGCCCAACAAGGCATCAACACCTCAACGACCTCTGCAGGCGAGTCTGTGTCGATCTCAATATCCACAGCACCCTCTTCCTCCAGATCATTAAGACTTTGCATATTTTCCTTGTCACCCTCTTCTTCTAGACACAGCTCAAGGTCGTCCTGTGGGACTCCCTTGCCTGCTTCAAATTCTATTCCATTAGTCATTACCTCTGCAGCCTCATTGAATTTATTGATGCGAGTCATGAGCTTCTGTCTTGTTTCTTCTACAACAGTTAGTTGCTGGGCAGTAGGGTCCATCGGCAGTTGTCTTATGGAGGTTCTCAAGGCATCTCTATGCACACATTGATGACATACAGCACAACATTCAAAATATAAAAGAGCTTACTGAGCATTTTCAATATTTATTCCCATAATTAACCAGGCGACTGACCCAGTCCTGCCATTATCAGATAATTCGTTTTCAGTTAACCTGAGACGTATTTCAGCCATGGTTGGTGCTATGAAGCACAATCACCATTAGTTATTGAATGATGCTAATTTCAGGATACCACTCACCTTTATCCATTTTCAGCTGATAGATGTCAAGCAGCTCCCCTCAATCATCTTCAGCTTTTTGGGCTGCCTTGGTCCAAACCTCCACATCCAATGGATCAAGTGATTATGTCAATTCCTCATATGGCGCCTGAGTGTTGTGGATACCTTTGAGGGCATGCTGATATTTTTTGAGTAAGGATTTTACTATGCAATAACATTAATGTTGCAACTATAACATGAAGAGGGGGGCTTGCCAATGCCAATGAGCTTCTTCCAATTGGAATCCTGCATATGGTCATCTGAGACTTCATGTCGATGAGCCATTGTCATGGACCTTGCAGTTGGTGAAATCTTATTGAAAGGGGCCCACAGGGTTTCGAGAATTTCACCATCAATGTGACCTGCTCCCTTGACGAAATGGAGGCCAAATCTAGGATAACATAGGAGCTTATGTGCGCTCAAATGAAACTGGCCAACAGCAGCCAATATCTTTGTCTTGTCGGGAATGGACAGGTGGTGGCTGTTGGCAACTTGTTCATGAAAATGGATGCTTCATTGACATGCCACATCATAGATGATAAGGGCACTGCCAATATCCTCAGATGGGTATTTGATCACATTGCAAATAGAATAGTCCATGTTCATTTGTCTTACAATTTCATGAGTTCAGGGACTAACACATTTTTATGGTCAGATCACCCACCTCTCTCCCTTTTGAAAGTCCATGACTGAATGAGGGACAAAACACCCATGTCTAGCACAGGCGGTCGCACCAACCCCTGTTGCTCTCAGGTTACTCCTTTGAATATTTGCAGCATTGACAGCTCTGTGGTTGCTACACAATGATTTCTTAAATATAACATTTAAATCATCATCTGTCCGAACAGTAAAAACAGAGCTCACATCTTTCACTTCTTTTGAATCCTTAAGGTGAGCTTGATAAGGTAACTCTGTCACCATATAGCCCTCCCCATCTGTCAAGGAAACATCTTCCTCCGGATTCTTCATATTCATATGTTGTGCAGTAAAATTACCATCCACAACATATCGCTGCATAACCAACCAGCTGAATGTTATAAAACACATTATGAGTAACATAGGGCAATATTTTATGAGAGAACTTACTTCTTGTATGTAGATTTCCAAGAAGATGGCAAGTTAATACCAGGTTGGGGACATGCAGGACAATAAAGGGCTAAATCACCAGGACCAGGCGATTTGACTGTGTCATGTCCAAACCCAAATCGTATCCTATTAGTCAAATCCCGCCATATACGGGATACCCGCATCAGTTCCCAATAACGGTCCTATTGTTCTTAAGCATGACAAGACAATTGACCATCAATATAAACCACATACCGGTATTTTGTCAGGGAAAGCATTGTTAGTCAAACGGCGGAGCTTCTGATAGAAGCTCATTGCTGAAGTCTTGCACTCCAGTGCATCTATGAGAAAGTGGTCCAAGACATTGAAGATGAAAGCAGTTTGAGGTTGTGTGATGCTAGCTGGAAACAGTTTGGTTTTGAGGAGTTGCAGATGTCAGTGTCTCTCAGCACCAGGACACTGGCACCAAGCTACATGATGGGAGTAAACTCCAGTAGAGTGAACAATGACCAGTTTAGTGACAATGGACTTTGTCTCATGAGCAGTCTCAACAGTCTCTTCCTCTACCTCTCCATCCATAAACACATCATTTAAGTCCCCCCCAAGGTCTGCCCAGGGTGATGAGTCCGACAGCTTTGATGAATAGGGGCATGGCTCCCCTCCATGACCAAGATATAATACATAACCTTGATCTAGCAGGGTAGTGGACTGGTAACACTTCCCATTCCACCATTGGAGATTGTGGAAAGGGAGGTACACATGGGCTTTCACTAACACCATGAGTGATCTCCTGAACAGGACAAACACCAAATAAACCCATCTTCTTCTCCACAAGTGTCGCATATCCCCTCTTTGGTCAACTGTTCTAACCCCAACAACAGGGAGATATATTCTGGACACCATGGCAGATAGTCACGAAGGAAATCATTTTGGGTCTATTTGAATTATTTAATTTGTCATACATCTATCAATGCAATATACAACTCACCTTGGTCTTTTGTTTAAAGATGGATGTGGTCCCAAAATCACCATGCACCTCTTGGTCGTATTGAAATGGAGGATCTTCAACATTGTGATGGAGGCTGGTATCAAGGTTTTGCTTATGGTTGGATTTGGTTGGGGAAGCAGGCTCCACTTCACTATCCGAGTCTTGATACACAAATGATGCATCGGTTTCTTTCCACATCTCTTTTCCTCGTCGAGTTTTGGATGGGACAAATGTATATTTGTAGGCACCTCATTTTCTCTTTGAGGGTTGGATCTCAGAGGAGGTTGGCTGGATCCTGGACCTATTTCGACGCCTTGGTGTTGAGCTCATCAGATATGTTTTGAGAGATACTCTGGGGCTAATATATTTACTTGGTAACAAAAAAAACCTCCCCCAGTCTAAAACCCTGTGTCCTTAATAATCCACTAGCCTATTCTTGACTAAGTTAATCTACTTCTCCCTGTTGTTCTTGCCCACCATTTGCAGAAAAAAGCTTTGTGTGGGAAAGGTCGGTCTCGGTACCCCTACCTGATCATGGATCTTGTCCTTCATGAAATGGGCAATGACAAATCTTTCCCCATTAATCCAAGGACCAACTGAGTGCTCCAGAATTTTCCCAGCAATAAAGACCATTGTTCCAGGACAGTAATCCAAAACTGCTTGCACATCTGCCAAGGTCATCTTAGCCTTGTGGTTGGTTCCCAAACTGACCAGAAGATCAAAAAGGGTTGGGGCTCCACCTGCATCTCTGTGGCTGGAGGTAACACGGTTTGCAATAATTTCCATTCCGGAGAATATTGATGACCATTGAGAGATTGGAGCTGGTTTCTTGTTCGGGATCTTAACTTCCTGTACAACCTGGGTTATTGTGGACATCCCTGTGTCAAAAAGGTCCGGAGAAATGGCAGCCGTAATACTGTTCCAGAAAAACTCTGTTAGTGCCACAGCAGCTAACCATTCTTGGATATGGGGTGATGAGTAAGAAGCCGAAGTTACTACCGGATCTTGCAGTCGCTAAAAAAAGTTGTGAAAAGACTATGGATTCCTCAGGCCAAAAACCAACCTCTTGTCTTTGCATGAAATATGCAGGTGACATAGTGATCCTGTCATATACCTGATCCGACCACCCTAATATCCGCTCCGCTTTCCGACCCCCTCCGCCCCATTCATCATCCGCTTCACCCGAGCATCATTTGTATCCACTCCGCTCAACCGCTCAACCGGTCCCCTTCCATAGCATCTCCATTCAACTGGATCCCTTTCCCCTTTTAGACATATACTCTCCCCTCCGGTACATAGACTCTTACTTCCGGATCACTGGTAAATCCTATTACCGCCCAATGGCTGATCCGACGCGTACATACTGATATCCACTCCAACTTATGTCTTCGCCTATGTAAAGTACTTACAAACTATATCCTTGGTACATAGCTTTACTACATAGTTATCCTGATCACTGCCTCACATAGAAGTATATAACATATCCTGTACTTAGATACTTTTCCTTAGTCTTAATATTACTTGTCTTCTTGCAGTCACCTCTTGCGGGAATTCTCAGTAGGACCTTGCCTCCTCTGGACACAAGTCTCAACTTGTTGTTGCCTCCGACCCTCTGACCCTCCGCTCCGACTTAGAGCCGTGCTCTAAGTCTTTCCCTTATTACCCCGCCCCTATCAATATCCTCCTATCACCCCTTTTCCTATCATCTACATTATCCTCCGCCATCTCCGCTCCTATCAAATATCCCCCTGGTTTCTACCCACCCTCCACATCGTTCCCCGCCTTCTCCGCTCCGCTCCAAATTCAGGGCACGTACTCGGCTAAGGGCGCAGCGCAAGAGCTGAAGCTAAGCCCCGACCCCTCTGCCTCTTGAGCCGGCACGGTACCTAACGGATCCTCCCTGCCCTAAATTTCCCAAGTCCCTCTGGAACATCAAACCCTTGATCCTGCCAAGGTTTTTTTTTTGGCTGAAGCCTTCGGAAGGGATCAAAGAAGTAAATCTTGCAACTCCGCAGTTGCATTATTCACGTACTCCTATGTGATTTGAATTAGCACTTGGAGCCTGAGGGGAATCCCTAACCAGGAACATACTAGCCTCGATGGAGATAAAACTTTGGGTAGATAAACCAATAAAATTTTACCGTGCCTGTCTACTATAGTTGCCGGAGCATCAATGTTGCCAAGCACTGCCTCAGAGAAGTACTTTCGAAGCCTCTCAGGCTCTGCAGTGGGTGAACCGTCAAGGTTGGGAGGAGACATTTTGAGCATTTCAGCATAACGGTCAACATCCCAATCCACATAATCTGTCCCTGACATTCAATATCTGACCAAAAGATTGGAAATTGGGTACACACATGGATTGACCACTGCATGTGCAATAGTCAAGGCAGCCCGATCAATCTCATATTCTGAGATCAATGGAGATATCAACAGGTCACCAGGTGTTTCCAGGCAACTGTTGAGGTCCAACTTGATTCTCAACCTTTGTGAAAGTCTGGAGTCAGCCAATCCAATCTCAAATCACTGATCTATGCCATACCTAGCACTTTGCAGAAGATTAGATTGTACAACACCATCTTTAAGGAGCCCTAGTACAGATGAATTTCTCAATATTCCAGAAATCCTGGTTGTCAGAGCTGCCCTTAGCCTTGCAGATTCATTTTGTAACTGCTCCATGGAAGATAAAGAAGTCAACCAAAGTTCTCACGCCCAAGAAAAGTCGCCGAGTAATACCTTGCCAATTAGTTAGTAAGCTTAGCTCAGACCCGGAAAAAATATGTAATTAGTCCTATATGCGGTCATATGATATTCCCAGAATGGTAATAACCTAATAAGCTGAGAATTAGCACATCTGATAGCAGCCGTTGGCAAGGGTCAGGTACAGTGGCATGTAAGTTGATGAGGTGGGACCAGCCTTCATTTTCCCTTTGGCTTTTGCAGCCTTGGACAGAAGAGGCTGGTACAGTGGCATGTAAGTCAATGAGGTGGGACCAACCTCTTCCATCCAAGGTTCCTGCGAAAGCCAAAGGGAAAATGAAGGCTGGTATCACCTCATCAACTTACATGCCACTGTACCAAGAAAATGAGGAATAATTTTGTCCAAGGCTCCTGTGAAAGCCAAAGGGAAAATGAAGGCCAGTACCACCTTGAAGAATATAATTTTGTCCAAGGCTCCTACGAAAGCCAAAGGGAAAATGAAGGCTGGTCCCACCTCAGGAAGTTGACCCTCATGTAGCTGGAAAACCAAAGGGAAATGAAGGCTGGTCCCACCTCAGGAAGTTGACCCTCATGTAGCCGGAAAACCAAAGGGAAATGAAGGCTGGTCCCAGCTCATCGATGTGGGACCAGCCTCTTCCATCCAAGGCTCCTGCGAAAGCCAAAGGGAAAATGAAGGCTGGTCCCACCTCATCAACTTACATGCCACTGTACCAAGAAAATGAGGTGGGACCAGCCTTCATTTTCCCTTTGGCTTTCGCAGGAGCCTTGGACAAAATTATATTCTTCAAAACTAAACATGATGATTGCCCCTGGACACCACAACTGTCCTACTCTTTGATATAGGGCCTCTTAATTTGCAGTATTCAATGTAAAATGAAAATGCCATGTCAGATTTTGCAAGACAGTAGTACAGACATTAATCTTGCATTGGTAGTGCACAATATTTCACTGTTTCACAGGGTTACATGACTTGTGAGAAAACGCGAACATGGTCACATGACCTGCATTGAAATTGATAGCACACAATATTTCACTGTTTCACAGGGTCACATGACTTGTGAGAAAACGCGAACATGGTCACATGACCTGCATTGAAATTGATAGCACACAATATTTCACTGTTTCACAGGGTCACATGACTTGTGAGAAAAAACTGGAACATGGTCACATGACCTGCATTTAGATTACAGAGCGCTCTATAATTTAACTATAAACTAAACAAAAAAAAAAACAAGTACAAGGATACCAATGATGCAAGACTGGGATGGAGGGGCCCTCTCCATCCTAGCCTTGCACCCTATACATAAAGTAAGAAGTGTACATTAAAAAAAAAACAGAAGGAAGGCGGACAAGAAGGACCTAGAATTCTGGTCAGTATGAGAACTAATAAGAAAACAGCGCTTACCCTGATAGCCACAGTGTGTATTAAAAAAAAGGTGAACAAGGACCTAGAATTCCAGTCAGTATGAGAACTAATGAGAAAATGGCACTTACCCTGATAACAGTAGTGTACATCAAAAAAAAAAGCTGGACAAAGACTAGATAGAAAATAAGACTACAGTTAGCAAAGAAAAGAGCAAAGAAAAAGGAAATGGTATAAAGAAACAGCAAAATACTCAAACAGACGTCTAGAAAATAAGTAATAGAAGTTAGTTAGGAAGGAAAAGAAAGGAGGAAAAAATACTTCCAGGAGAGCTCCGAAACTCTCCTAGTGAAAACTTGCCCTGCCCCCCAACCAGAACAAAAAGAGAGGCGGCAGTCTCCAAGTGGAGACCTGCCCTGCCCTAAGCAGAAACACCCCCAGACTCAAGATAAAGAGAGAGGCGGCAGTCTCCAAGTGGAGACCTGCCCTGCCCCAAGCAGAACACCCCCAGACCCAAGAGAATGAGTGAGGCGGCAGTCTCCAAGTGGAGACCTGCCCTGCCCCAGCCAGAAGCTCACAGACGCTAAAAAGAAAGGGCAATCAGTACCTGAAAGAGTAAAAATGGCGACTGACTTTGTAAAAGGCAACCTCAGGCAGCTGCCTTTGAGCACTTGCAGCTGCAGTCTGCAAGGGCCCAAAGGTCAACATACAATGAAGTCACCAATGGTGGGACAAATAGTAAGAGTGAGGGGAAGGAAGGAGCACTGAGACATTCAAGTTCATGGAAGAAGAACATGAACTGTGGGAAATAGTTGTGGTGGCTGAAATAACAATAATGTTTGTTTCTATTTGGCTAACAAGAAATTTTGCAAAGTCTTTTTGATACACCACTGGCACAATCTGAGTCAACAACATTTGTTTGTATCTATTTGGCTAACAAGTGCAAATTTTTGCAAAGTCTTTTTGATTCACCGCCGGCACAATCTGAGTCAACAACATTTGTTTGTATCTATTTGACTAACAGGCGGAGAATCTTAGTCTTTCACCACCAGGTAAGTAAGTTTCTATTTGAATCTCAACTGCTCACAATCTTACAAGTCTCTCAATTGCTTGTAGCGTGATAAGGTATGTTTACATGTACTTACTTTCAATTAAATACTTCACTGATTCAAATGTACTGATTGGCGCTGTGCTATCAGGTGTGTTTGTGTCTATTTGGTTTTCAACCAAAACAATTACAACAGTGCTTCACCACCAGGTAAGTTTCTGTCTGAATCTCAGCGGTTAAAATTTTTACAAGTCTCAATTCTTGTAGTGTTACAAGGTTACAAGGTATGTTTGCTTTTGATTAGATATTTTACTGATTCAAATGTACTGATTGGCGGTGTAGAAACCCTTTCCCTCTCCCACCACTGCAACAATGACCCGCACCAAAATGACAGCAAGGAAGTCTAATGGTGGTACAGCACCACATGTTACTCTGGTTCTACTGTCCACAGATCCTGGCCGGCCTGATCAGACTGAGGCGTCAAGCAACATGAAGGTGTGCGAACCTTTCTTGCACAATGAGGTATGTTTATTTGTATCTTTTGGCTATCTGTTTAACTAACTATGATATTTGCAGTTCTGTATCGTCTGTCGCGACAGAACTGTCGACGAGGACTTGCTGTACATGTGTAACAGCTGCCCCCGTGTTATGTGTGGCAACTGTATAGCCATACCTGAGGAACACCTCCAGGACGTCTTGAGCCCTGAGGTCACTTTCAAGTGCATCTCCTGCCATATTGGCACACAAGACCACGGTCGCGCCTACTCTCCGTACTTTGTAAGTCATCCTTTGCTTTTTTTGAATGTTGATTGACCTTTGTAGGGTTTCTACTTGGGGGACAAACCACTCTTCAAGACGTTTCTTCTCATCCATGCAAGACTGGAGCTTTCTTCCTGTTCTCAGATCTCATCTGATCCCGTCCTCTTTGTCCACCTCAAGCTGGTCAATTATGATACTGCTGGCAGCTCTTTCGACCTCACGTACCGCTTCATCAAGCCGTATTTTCCCAGCGGTGGGATTGAGCTTCGCGAGGTTATTTTTGATGTTGGCACTAGTGCCAAGATTACTGAATACCATTCCGCGTGTCGTACCCTCATACATCTTCTCAAACAGGGCAATTGGAAGCACGTTGTCATTGGTGTGTCCAACCACACTGATAATGACCTTGGGGACCCATTTGCTGGTTATGATAGTGCAGGGTCCTATATTGCTGCCCGAGTGGACAATGTAAGTTTGACTTTGGTGGTTTTTATTTTTGCTGACTGTTATGTAGTTTCTTGATATCGTCCTTCAGCCTTGGCAACCACTGATCGATCTTGCAGAGGAGTCCTTCCTCTGGATGTTTGTATGTGGGTCGCTTGTCAACAACCCTGAGTCCTACAAGGCTTTCCAGAACTCTGTTGTTGTGTAAGTCCTTGTTGTCTTTAATTTCTATCTTCTGATGTCCACTCCAGTCACAATATATCTGCCGCTGTTGCCTTCAGTGCCCCTCGGTTTCAACCCAGCTTTACTTGTCATCTCCTCCTCGCTTTCACTGAACTTGTCCTGATTGAACACTTTTCGATCACCGAGGCTTTCCCAGAGATGTTGGGCCAGTCATATAAGCTGGGCCGCCACAGTGACATTTTCTTATTTGTCACTGATGAGCCTGAGTACCACCCTATCAAGGTGTCCAGGTTTGCTTGGACCCACCAGGACCTTTGCCCTTGGGGTGGCTACCTGCCACTGCAGTGTCCCCAATGTGGGTGGCCTAATGCATGGCAAAGGTTAAGCAAGGGTCGGGCGTCCTGCTTTGAATGTAAGAATGATAGGTGCAGGAAGTCTTTCTCATTTTGTCTGCCAGAGGGGGCAAAGATTCTCAATCCAGCCAAGAAGGGTAACATCAGCTGGATTGAGGTCCCTATGGATGTTCTGGTTGATTGAAATGTTTTTAGTTCATTTTTTCATCTATGTTTTTTCGCTTTCATCCTAGCTTTCACATAGTTTCATACTGGCTTGCATGTAGTTGACTGTACTGTCTTGATGAATTGATGGACTTGTTTGATCTGATCTGCTTTTGACTGAAAATTGACCTTTTCACAACATATCATATTTCATACTTGACAGATGTCCTTGGCCATCCAGGGTGTACAGTATGCATCATGCTGTGAGCTGATGCTTGACCAGTTATGATAATGTCACATAATCGTGTTGATATTCACATGGTGTGTCATGTGATTGTGTATCTGGTTGACATTTCACTGAAGGCTGACGTGGTTTTACGGGTCGTAAAGTCATTCTTGCCCTCATAATCATGGCTGACTGGACACAGGTATTTAGTGACATTCTTTTGCAGCACAAAGATGATTTTGTGGCTGCAAAGTGGGATCTCCCTGAATGTGCTCGACTTCTCAAAGAGGTCAAGGAGGCCATCTTGGGGAGCACAAGAGCCAAACATCCAAGCACTATGCTACCACAGTCCAACTTATGAAAAGTGAGTGCTTGAAGTTTTATTGAGGTGCTAAACATTATACATTTTGTAGGCTATACGTGTCTACTACCTTCGTTTCCTCAAGGATGACGATGATATAGCTGCTGAGGAAGGAATAATCGCACCGGGTTCCAGTACAGCAAATGCATCTGCTGTGGATGCAAGGTTGGTGAGGGAGAGGGAGGAGGATTTAAAGCCCCTTGATGCTGGATTTTACAAGAGGAACCTGGGGGGTTATGATGTCGCCCTCAAGATTTTCAAACAGGAGATTGTCAAATATGACAAGAACAATCGGGATACCTTGAATCCAAAGACAATAGGAGACAGGACCAGGCTCTCTCACAAATGGTATGATGATCTTTCTGACGAAACAAAGGATGAGCTGGAGGGGGTCGCATCAAAATGGAACAAGGAGGGTGCACCTCAGATTGTTAAGGATCGGTAGGTGGTACCTTTGCCATGTGTTACAGATGTTGATTAATTGGGGTTGCTAGCTATCGATCTCAAAATCAAAAGAGGATTGTTGAAGATTTCATCACTATGGTCGGCCGAACAATGGGCCTACATCTTATTATTGTAGCTGGTCATGATCAAGGTGATGGTAAGGCTCCTGGGACTACAATGTGAGTATTTATTGTTATGAGCTCTTAGTCTCAATCCTTAAGAGTGTCATTAGCTGGGGGACGACTCCTTGGACAGCTTCAGCAAAGTTTACTGAGCATTCAAAGAAGAATAGAAATTGGGCAGCCGATACGCAAGACCTTCTAGCTGACTGGTTGACTAATGAGGAGTATGGTAAATTTATGCTTATCTTTCTATCACTCAGCTCCTAAAATCACAACTTTTGTAGCGAGTGATATTGATGGATCAGACGAGGATAGTAGAGAAAAGAAGTCAGAGAACGATATGATCACCGTGGATGTAGATGATGAAGGCTATCCTTTGCTGCCCCCTGACTTTCTCAAGGTCAACCTTAGGCGTCAGCAGGGTCTTATCAGGGCAATATTTCAAAAGTCATACGGTGAGGCTATCATTAGTATCTTCAGCAATAGCTAATTAATTGCTGACCATAGCTGTAATTACCAATAATCCTCACGTACCCGTCCCATGGAAAACTATCACCGATAGACCTCATGACTTCCTCGACATGGACTGTATCCCTGGTGATATGATCTTGAGGGACCCCTCTCACCTTGTCAAAGAATCTATCACCCTGCTTCATTTGCATTGGAAGTTCCATACCAACCATGGGCTACCCTTAGTCACCTTTGTCGGCTACAAGGAGGAACATTTTTACGATTCACTGGCTAATAAGGGTAAAACATCTCGTAAACCCACCAAAAAGCGACCATATGTGGAGATTGACTCAGATGAAGATGAGCCTATTCAAAAGGATGCCTCCTCCTGCTCTGAGGATGAAAAGAGCAAAGGACCTTCTACGTCAAAGGGCAAGGAACCTTCCATCTCAAAAGGAAAGCAACCTTTGAAGGCGACACAACCTTTGCCTTCTAAGGCAAGTCCTGCATTCCATGCAGGTATTGACCAAATCTCTTTCCTATGGTCTCTCTCCTCCCACCCCACTTTTCAAGCTCTGGTCAATGCGATGCAAGACCTCTCAGACCACATGAGTTTATTTCTTGCTCTACCATTAACTCTCATTTATATATATATTTCCAAAGGAACCATCAGACTATATTGCCCTGAAACAAAACCTTCCCCAATGGGCGTCTTGGAGGTGGGCAGAAGGGTACTTGCCTTCAGAGGTCCACTTAGAAGACGAAGCCTTCCTTGAGACTCTCCAGTCATTTAAAGACTATAAGTTTATGGCCTCCTCGAGTGGTATCCTGGTAGCCCTAGGTCTAGGACTTCTACTTCGAGAGTGCAATCGTGCTCAGGAGTATGAAGCTGACGAGGCAGGTGATGATGTTCCTGTCTATTTGGGTCAGCCTCACCTTGGAATTGATGTCAGTGAAGAAGTCAACAATGTGACCACAATCATCCTTGGTAATGTGAGAAGGAGTCTCACCATCCTGACAAAGGTGAAAGAGAGCACTGCAGCTAGGGAAGCAAGGAGATCAAAGGAGATTGATGGGGCGAAAAAGAAGCAGGATAAGGAGAAGCATGTGAAGAAGAAGAAGAAGGATGAGGATGGAGAAAAGACAGAAGGATGAGGAGACAAGGAAGAAGGAGGAGGCGAAGAAGGAGGAGATGAGGAAGAAGGAGGAGATGAGGAAGAAGGAGGAGGCAAAGAAGGAGGAAGAGGCGAGCAAGAAGAGGAAAAAGGGTGGAGGAAAAGCTCAGAATAAAGGCAAGCCTGACTTGCTCGAGGACTCTGATTCAGATGAGCCTAAGCTGCCTAAGAAAAAAGCCAAATCATCTCCAGTTGCTGCTCGTCACTCTAGCCAAGTCAAAACAATAAAGTCAAGGAAGTAGTCTACATTTTCATGCTCATAGTCTTTAAGTTGAATAGAAATACAAGTTTTTAGTGCCTTTATGATCCATGGAAATGTCCTGCACATGTAGTGTGTTGCACAGTAGGTATGTGTCAGCACAAGGGCAGGCCTGCCTGGTTTCAATGTGGAGGATTGGCCACCCATATGAGTGGGGACGTGGTATGGGGGCAGCTGGCCCATGATTGCCCAGTAAGGGTTGGCCACCCATATAGGTGGGGGCATGGGACTAGGGTGGCCGACCCATGGTTGCCCAGTAGGGGTCGGCCACCCATATAGGTGGGGGCGTAGGACTAGGGGTGGCCGACCCATGGTTGCCCAGTATAGGTCAGCCACCCATATAGGTGGGGGCGTAGGACTAGGGGTGGCCGACCCATGGTTGCCCAGTATAGGTCAGCCACCCATATAGGTGGGGGCGTAGGACTAGGGGTGGCCGACCCATGGTTGCCCAGTATAGGTCAGCCACCCATATATGTGGGGACGTGGTACAGGGACGGCCACCCTATGGCTGCCTATTATGGGTGGCCAACCCCTACTCACAAACTCTCAGTGAAGAATTGAAATTATGAATGACTACATGGGTGGCCAACACCTACTAGGCAGCCATGGGGGCAGCCATCCATATATCACATACCCACTCATATGGGTGGCTGACCACTACTGGGCAATCATGAGCCAGCTGTCTGTGTACCATGTCCCCACATATATGGGTGGGTGACCACTACTGGGCAATCATGGGGGGCTGTCCCTGTACTAAATCCCCACCTACATGGGTGGCCAATCCTCCACAGTAAAATTAGGCACACACTATCCCATACTAGGCAGCCATGGGGATGGCTGTCCCCCTACCACGTACCCACTCATACAGGTGGTCAACTCCTACTGGGCAATCATGGGGCGGCTGCCCTGGCCCCATGCACCCACCAATATGGGTGGGCAGCCCCTACTGGGAAACCATTGGTCGGCTGCCCTGGCCTACACCCCCACCTCTATGGGTAGCCAACCCCTACTGGGCAGCCATACCAGTATTACTGGTGATTGATATATGTATCACAGTTTGTATAATGGAAGGTTGGCCACCCACAATCAATTGGCCCAGAGGCCCTCACCTTGAAACAAATGAGGTTGGCCACCCCCATGTCTACATGCCTAGGCCCACACAAGCTTACACTGGTAGGAGTGGTGCAGGCCCCTTACTGGAAAAATAAATCAAGGATAGTGCACTGGTATTGATATACACCAGGTACACCAGATGTCATAATGTGGAGTCAGCCGCCCCATCCCCACATGCCCAGGCCCACACAGGCCTGCCCTCGTAGAAGTGGTGCAGGCCCCTTCCTGAAAAAAAATCAAGGATAGTGCACTGGTATTGATATACACCAGGTGAACTAGATTTTATAATTTGGGGCCGGCCACCCCCATGCATATGTGTCCAGGCCCACACAGGCCTGCCCTCGTAGAAGTGGTGCAGGCCCCTTCCTGAAAAAAAAAATCAAGGATAGTGCACTGGTATTGATATACACCAGGGGCACCAGATTTCATAATGTGGGGTCAGCTGCCCCATCCCCACATGCCCAGGCCCACACAGGCCTGCCCTCATAGAAGTGGTGCAGGCCCCTTCCTGAAAAAAAATCAAGGATAGTGCACTGGTATTGACATACACCAGGTGAACCAGATTTCATAATGTGGGGTCGGCCGCCCCATCCCCACATGCCCAGGCCCACACAGGCCTGCCCTCGTAGAAGTGGTGCAGGCCCCTTTCTGAAAAAAAATTAAGGATAGTTCACTGGTATTGCTTTATACAAACCATATCTATGGATCATAAGCTAGTGATTATCAAACAGGCCAGCCACTACCATGTCCACGTACCCCCAGCCGGTGACCGGTACACCCTGTTCTACGATGCTTTGTACATGTCCTATGACATTCTACGTTACTATTGGACTGAAAGGTGTGTGCGTGCGACCAATCGATGACGCGTGTTGATTCTTCGTTGGCCGATCCGTTTGCGCGAGCAGCTTGAACGCGTATGAGCAGGATTCTGATTGGCAAGGAGTCAGATAGAGCGCGGAGGGTCAGGTGAATATTGCGGTGGATCAGTAAAGCAAGCAAGTACCATGTTGGTGCCGATCTGCGTCCTACACTGCCTCATCACCTGCAGCCAGCTGAAGGTGTTTATCATATACTCTTACACCCTTTGAAACAAGACTCCGTCAGCTTGCCCTGCCCACCCATTGGGCTATGAGTTCTTTGCCCATGCCTACAATCATGAAGGGCTCACCACTACTGCCTCTGTCATCAACAAACAGGGCTTTGTAAAGTGCGAAGGCACGTCCATTGAGATGGGAGATCTCTTGGACGACGATGATGAAGACGTCACTTTGTCTGCTATGCGCATGGACCAAGTTGACCGCATGGTGTGGCACACCGCCCTCTCTGTCGCTCATCAGCGGGACAAGATCGAGGAGCGCCGCTTGATGAACAAGAAGAGCAAGAATTACTTCAAGAAGCAGCAGGTTAATATGTTTAGAAAGGGGGTCGGGAACCAAAAGGGGAACACGCTTAGCACTGGTGCCCCTGGAGGGACCAAAGCATCTGGCAGCGCCCAGCTGCCCGTCGAGGATGAGATGAATACTGTGGGGTAAGGATCCACCAAACGAGCCTAACCTTTGCACCTATGATTCCCACATTATCAACTATGTTAACTGGCATCACAGTGATCTGAGTGACACTTAATAAAGCTTAAACTTGTTTGTATGGAGCACCAGCGGTGCACACCAGCCAAACACCTGTACTTACACTACCAACTATTCCCACTGTAAATAGAGCACGTGAATATAACAACCCAATTGGGTAATCCATGCTCGTCGCTCGCTTGCACCACTCCGCACGTTGCTGAAACCTTTGTGCTCGCTGTTGCACACAGTGAGCTCGAGTATTCTATCATTTCAATGTATTTTCTCCAGGCTTTTTCACTGTACCGTGTTTTATGTCATTTAAGATAATATATCTTGCATTGCATCAGTGAAACATTTCGAACTATATAGCACTACGTAGCAAGCAGAAGCACAGTAGCAAAACCCTGCTACAGTAGTAGTCGAGTGCTACAGTAGCTCGGGTAGCACATCATAGCAAATCAAACTAAACCATTTGAAGTTAAAACTACTGAACTCGCATCTCACTTTCCATATATGAGTTTAATGATCAACTGATCAAATCGGTCAAGCATTGAATGCTTAGATCATACAGATTAGCAGAAGATATGATCAAAGTTCAAATGATAAGATCTACTAGTATAACAACAGTGCGACTATGAAAACAGTATTATGCCATGGGGCCACCCCAGCCTGTACCAGGCGCCCCACCCCAACTCAAACTCCCAAATGAATACTGATCACTGACGTGTGGAAACGTTGACGGATTGTCGGTGACGAGCTGTTGCTCGTCAGGTTGTACAGCATCACCACTGGAGTTTGCATTCCAGTGCGGCTGGTATGGGGGCTCAGGAGGTGAGTAGTGTGGTGGGTAATATTGGAACAGCATCATCAGTGGCGACTTCGCAGCAACAGGATCATGCTCATCTTCACAGGGGTACCACGAAGTGCCAGATGACGACGACCATGACGTGACTGGAAGGTGACCATAATCAAAGGTAGACGATGGTAATGAACTCGAGGAGGAGGTGGAGGTGGGTGCAGGGCAAGGGCGCTGGTATAGCTCAGTAGTCATAGCAGCAACATAACTCATTGTATTTTTTGTTGGCGACATTTCTCCTGTGTGTATCCGTAGCTTTCGTCTGTAAAATGTGGGGTCAGTACATTGTGATGAATGCGCCGCGAACACTTACAGGCATTTGTCGTGATGTGCCTGCATGCACGGCATCAATTCATACTCGTCAAGCTCGGGCTTAGCAGCATATTCCATCATCGCTTTGCGGATTCCTTCCGCAACCCCCAAGAATTCTTCCGTTGAGAATTGAAGCACATTCTTTGTCTTCGATAGTCGACCTTCCAAAGCCTGGCGGATGACACATAGAATCTAATAGTTAGCAATATCAGTCCTGGTCGATGAAATCGAACGGGTTTGCTTACCGCAGCGCCCATCAGTGAATACATAGGCCATGAAATGTGTAAGATTAATGCTCTCAACTGCGGATCGAGGAATGGTGAGTTGTGTGAAGGATGTACTTCAAAAGGTTCATGTCATCAGTTAACAGCATCACGCACTGTTTAATATGGTTGCTTCTTTCGTCATCGCTCATTGCGCTATTGTCAGACGGGTATATTTTTAGGCACGATAGGACTTGTTCAGCCTCGTTAACGAGCTTTCCTCTGATGGTTGATAATCCATCGAAAATGAGTTTGTTGATGCTGTCCGTGCACTCGGTGACTACATGAAGAGGTAGGATTAGTGGTCGGTAGCGCTAGTGAAAGAACATACCATGGACAGACGTGTCAGATGCCTGTGAGATACACTCTGCAGTGATGGAACCAAGGTTGCTAGTCTTCTGCCACCCGCTCTCCAGGAGCATATTGAGAATGATGAGTTTACGGGCATGCTTGATGTTTTTTTGATCCGCCTCGCTGTAGTACTTCATGTCGGTGGGTTTGAGTTCCATCTTGGAGCTCCATCTAGCATGTTCCGCCAGTGGGCGCTCATTGCCATCAACACTATAGGTGCTTCCTGACGCCCTTGATGTGCAATGGCTGGTGGTGCGTGACGATGGGATTGAATAAGGGCATAAATGTTCCTGGGATGGGAGTTGCAAGGACCGTTGGCAGGACTGGTGTTCTAGAAGAGTGTCGGTAGCATCTCCGTCTGTCTTAGAATAATAGTTGTGGGTACGGAAATAAGGAATGAGAAATGAGAAGTACTTCTATCATTGCAGCAGCAGATGTGAGGCACTCTAGTGTACTACTGCTTTGATGTTGGAATGGAATTGATTGAAATGGGGGAATAGATCCTGTGCATTCGATAGAATCTGGGACGGCGACCTGCGCCCCAGATGCACTGTGTCCGCACCCACGACCTGAACCGCCCTGGCTACGAGGCATAGTAGAGGTTTAGAGAAGAGCGTAACTAGTAGAGCAATTGAATTACTTGAATCATAATATTATACGACAAGTTTTGATTTAACAAGGCCGCAGTGTGCCACATGAATGATGACCAAACTGTTTCAGCTCACCGTTTCTAGATTCGAGATAGGAGCAACCCCAGAAATTTCACTACAGATCATAATTGTACTGCCTGCCAGGTAGTACTTCACAAGACTACATATATATGTATATACGTATATGCTCTATAAACGGTCAGATCATACTCAGGGAATTGAATGGTAGACCTGATTCAGTCATAAATGAAGTGACTCCTGCAGCATCAAATACCACTGTGACATTCCAACAATTCGGAAACCATATCACTGTGTGAAGCATCATAGGAGTCACAGCTGTCATCAGCCTCGTGGTGACCATGGCCGGGGAACAACCTGCCAAATTCAACCTCCTTCTGTACTTGGTTTCCGGGTCTCCCTTTGCTTCCTATCACTGCCACCCCTGCGTCATACAATTTGTTTTGAAGTGAACCGATTTGCAAATCAGTTTGAGTCATATGGCCCTTGGACTCTTCAAGTTCATCATGCACGATGGCCATTATCAGTGACAGTTCTTCGGCGCGTAGGCGCTGATACTCCATCTTTGTGGTGAAGGTCCAGCGACTGACACAAGAAAGCTCAAGCATGCATTCCATGAAATAGACTGCACTATCAGCAGGGCAATTACAAGTGAACTAAGAATTGTTTGAGCTTTGGACCCCATTCAAGTGAGGGTGACCTACCAATGTGAACAACGTCTTGGATCTCTTGGTGGGAAAGTACCCATTATCCTCAAGTCCATCATCTTCAAGTAAGCTGTATTGGTGTGGGCGCTTGCGAGGACCGTGTTTGGTAGCTGAAGTGGGGCCACCCTCACTGGGCACAGTGGTTGTGAAGGGAGAAGTATGAGCAGTGTGCAGGCTACTGCTCCGGATGGGGCCACTCTTCAGAATGGGGGAGCCACTCATTAGGATGGAGGAGCTGCTACCTGGGACGTGGGAGCTAACCATTGGGATAGGGCTACTCTCTAAGTCGGAGGAGCTACTCCTCAGTATGGGAGAGCTAGTAGGAGCTTCGGATGTAGGGGGTGGTGATACAATTCTGAGAGCATAGTGAATAATAGTTCACCATAAACAAATGTTATTAATTGAACATACCTGGGCTTGTTTGGGGTCACCAGGGAGGTCCTCCTCAAGCTGGAAGAGTCACTCTTCAATATGGGAGAGCTATTTGGTGCCTCAGACGTGGGCGGTGATGAAACACTGGAGCATATGGTCAGTGAATGGCTGGTCATGGAAAATAACATAACTTCAGATAAATAAACAGACCTCAGGTTATTAGAGGTCCTCACTGATGCAAATGAGCTACCAGTGCTGCTTGTGCAAGGCATATTAATGATAAGTCAATTGTGTTACAGCTCAAACTTCAAGTTTGTTGATAACTGAATCAACCAAATAGAAAACAGTTTCCCAGGGTTGTTGGCAAGAATTCGTGCTAAGTCCCACTAATTCTCTTGGACTCAGCTTCGAGGGAGGTAAGCACTAAGCCATCGTGGTTCTTGACAGCTCCTGATCACACTTACTATGCATAACAGCAATGCCAGGGAGGATAGGAGGACAGTTGACTCTTAGGAGGTGGGCCTTGACATTGCATGTCAACTTGATGTCGAAAGGACTGTCAAATTGGGGCAACTTGCACGACCCAGGGATCAAGTTACGACAATGCCAGGAGGACAGTTGACTGTTAGGAGGTGGGCCTATCTATGCATGACATTGCATGTCAACTTGATGCCGAAAGGACAGTCAAATTGGGGCAACTTGGACGACCCAGGGATCATGGATAGATTTATAAGGTCTTTCCTCAACTCTAGGGTGAGTCAGTAGAAGAAATCCCATTGATCATTTGAATCATTTGCCAGCATGTCATCCTCGCCTCCTTTTCATGTTCCCCATTCGACTACTAGTAATAATGGGCACACATTTACTTGCCCCAACTGCGCAGATATATTTTCAAGCATTGACAATGTCATCCATCATCTGTCAACTACTGTTACCTGCGGTCAGCGTGTTGTTCAAGGTCTTACCTTGGACTTCGGGGAACCTAGTCATTTCTCACAGGACTATGATCCTGACACCCTAGAACATGGGCAAGATGGTGCGTATATATCACTTGATCGATGGAGGCTAAATCTTAGTATGCATCTAGTCTATGGAGAGTACAACAAACTCAATCCTTTGGATGATGTGGAAGAAGTCATAATCCCACATGTCGAAAGCGCTACAGATGATGTATCAGCCTATAACCCGCCCCTTTCGTCTGTCCCAAATCCTGAGCAATATCATCCCAGTACCCCTGAGTCAGTGTGCGACACCCCCCTCGCATCTGTTGATCCCTCTGCAGGCCCACATCCCAGCACATTTAGGGAGTACCATCCCAATGTGCCAATTACCCACCCCAGAGGAGAAAATCATCTTCAGAAGATGGACCGCAACGTACATGCTGCTATCCATCACACAGAGAACCTTTACTATCCCTTTGCATCGAAAGCCGAATTTGACCTGGGATACTGGCTTTCAGAGGGGGTGTTGTCACAAAAAGAAGTTGATGTTTTCCTCCACCTTGAGCATGTAAGTTGCCTATCTACATTTCATGTCATCAGTATCTTGATAATAGATGCAGACCAAGAATAATCCGCCCTCTTTCAATACATCTAAGGATCTGCGAGCTCGGATCAAAGCACTACCTGAAGTACCTCGATGGTACCACCAACAAATAAAAGTTGGTTCCTATAAGACGAAAGCACCCTTGGTGCTCTATTGGAGGGATGGTCTCGATGTCGTGAAGCACCTATTCGCCAACCCAGTCTTTGTGCCTTGTATGGATTTCCAGCCGTACCAGGAATTCAAGGGCGCAGACAGTCAGCGAGCTTATGGAGAATTTATGAGTGCTGATATTGCCTTGGAGATACAGGTGGGTGGTATCACCAATGATGGGTACTTAGGCTCACTGTAGTAATCATGGCTTGTCAGGATAAGCTTCCTCCAGGTCATTCATTTGTTGGTGTGATTGGTGCTTCGGACAAAACACCTCTGACCATTGGGACCGGAAACAAGGAGATGCATCCCCTGTTGATCTCGCTCACTAATATCCATGTGGGTGTTCACATGAAGGCGACATCACATGCATTCGCTTTGGTCGCTTACCTGCCAATACCAAAGTTTCTCAATGTCTCAAAGCCCGTACATGCAATTTTATCCGCGTGAGTCTATCATTTCGTGATTTCAATTGTCATGCGTAATTTGAAACTTGCTGCTCGTGATGGCTGCCCTATGTCAGACCCCAGAGGAGATTTGCGTATGATTCATATACATTTGGTCGCCTGGATAGCCGACTACCCTGAACAACTGCTCATTGCATGTACGGCCTCGAAGCGTTCTTCGATTTCTCTTGCTACTGCTGCCCAATTTGGGGATCCTCTTCTGCATCCTCCTCGAACTCGTTCTAACACTCTTGACGCTATTGAAAGGGTGTGCACTATTTCCGATCCCTGCGACATCGCATCCTTCTATAAGACATGTCAAGCCCTTCATCTGAATGGTGTTGTTGAACCGTACTGGAAGGATTGGGGCCATGCATCCCCATCCTTCTTTTTGACGCCAGATGGCCTCCATCAGTGGCACAAATTTTACTTTGACCACCCCATCAACTGGTCTATAAACATCATGGGGGGAGCGGAACTCGATCGTTGACTGTCAGTTCTTCAACCCTGTGTAGGAGTGCATCATTGGGCGAATGGCGTTTCCATGCTGAAGCAGCTCACTGTTCAAGAACATCGAGACCTTGAGAAGCTCCTTCCTGGCGTGATTGTTGGTGCTGTCCCTGATGAAGTTGCATGTGCACTATGTGCTATCACAGAATTTATATTCCAAGCACAGAACCTCTTCCTTTACGATGAAACCTTACATTCTTTATCTGAAGCCCTCCGCAAATTTCACTACTATAAGGACTTCATCCTGACAGCGGGTGGCCACCATGGCAAGAACAGTCTCCTCAATCACTTCCAGATCCCCAAGCTAGAGTTAATGCAGCATGTCGCCCGGAGTACTCGAGCCATGGGTGCTCCATATCAATGGAGCAGTGATATTACTGAGCATTGCCACATCACTCATGTGAAGCGGCCTTACCGCATGTCTAATCGCAGGGATTTCCACGGTCAGTGCTGCCGCTTCCTCGACCAGCAGGAAAAACTGCAATTCTTCCAGCTTTACACAGTTCTAAAGTCACAGCGAGCAAGCTTGATCTATGAAATGTCCAGGGAAGCAAACACGATGGTGCTCCACTATCCCGAAGCAACCTGGATCTCTACTGTTCTGCCTGGTGAGCAGTATGCCGTTGCCAGCAAACCAATCACTTCCCTTTTCACCAACAATTGCACTCATTTTTCTTCCGACGACACTGTCACAATCCTCCTTACTTGCCATCCACATTTCCATCACCTATCTATTGAAGAAGCTTCTCAATGTTTCCACATTCCTGATCTCTGTCCAGTGCTGGGTGATCTGATCTCTGGTAGATCTTACCTCGAGTGCAGTGGAAGGCGAATATGTCGTCCCAACTGTTCTCTCTCCTTTGATTACCTTCACATTTGGCAAAAATTCCACATGCAGCAGCGCTCTACACAAGATAGCTGTATTGTTAGTCCTGCTCACACCATCCAGGCACTAGCACCAAGCTCTTCGATGCCATTTGGAAGGGGAGATACTGTCTTGATTACTCATGAAAGCGGCAAACTACTTTTGCCCGCCACTTCTGAACGTATGTGTATACTTTTCCCTATAACTTCTTCACATCTTAGCCCCAGAATCCTAGGGTATCTCATTGTCCAAGTAAAAGCTATCATCCAGCCTATTACTGAAATGCCCCGCCTGAACCAACCATTTCTCTATGTCAAATTTTTCAACTTCTCTCATTCATCATTCAGCACCATCAATGATATTCGTTTCATTACTCCAGCTCCTGTAACCGACATGTTTTCAGTTCAATGCCGTGTTCAATCGAACCATGATCCCTTGGGAGACATAGTGCCTCTGGACAGTGTGTGTCAGGTCATTGAGCTTATTCCCAAGTGCGGTCGAGAGGTACCACTGTCAATGAATCGTGACAATAGTTTGCAGCTGGCGCGCGAGTTTTATGTGAATAATTTCGCAGACAAAGAGACCTTCCATGCTATTCTCAGTTACCAGTAGTTTCTTCTTGAACCTGTACTACCACTAGTTTCCCTCAATCCCAGTTTCCTGCCTGGCAAAGTTATTGAATGGCGAGCAGTGATCATCATCATGATCACTTCAGTACTATCATCTTATTGTGCTGCAAAGATCATGATAAACTCTTAATCATGATCACTTACTGAAAATTACGGATACATTATAGCATTTCGAAAGTCCCAGAACCAGTACGGAGGTTTTAGTACTACTAGCTGCTACTGGCTTCTACAGTCAATTTAAAAGAAGTGCTGTGCTACAAGCTGCTACAAGTCACTTCACTCAGCAGTGGGTTTCCTGATGTTTTCAGACCTAAGTAAGCTGAGAACAAGTGTACATAGATGTATTAATACTCCACAAGCAAATTAGCTCCTCCACCTCATCCATGGGCCTCCAGCCATTGCTCCCTGGTCGAAAAAACACCATTTATATGTAAGAATATCCATAGATAAAAAGAAATTTAAACCAAAGGGTGCTGGAAGCTGGGAAGGGTGCTCTAAAGAGAACAATGAAGGTAAGAGAAGGATGGAGGGGAATACATGGCCCTAGGCATTGATTAATCATGCATAGAGGTCTTGTAAGCATACCTTGGTGAAGGTAGAGTGTGTGCTGGGTACCAGGCCTGGAAAAATGCGACTTGGCAGGGTTTATCAAAAGGTCATACAGAAAATAGAATTACTACCCACCAACGAGAAGAGGACATAAGCGGTGTCTAGACAGTGTATTATGACTCTATTGGAGTCAAATGGGCCCCTAAACCTGGCGATAAAATAGCTAGATGAGATACAATGATTAAAACAACAGAAAATCCAAAAAAACTAAGTAGAGGCTCACCATGGGGATCAGAGCGCAGTACTGGTGTACAGGACAGTGTAAAACATGTCCTCAAAGCATCATCAGTAGCTGATAGTGTGTATAAGGAGGAGAGCAAGTTAGCAACAAAAATGGTGAAAAAGCGAACCATGAGACTTATCATGTTAAGAGTGTTGCTCAGTGTAGGTACCAAAGGCAGTGAGGTCACAAAATGATACAGGACATCTTATAAAGTCATTGTATCAAGGTAGAAGAGCAGTGATCAAGAATAGGATGAGTGATCAAGACAATATGGGAACATGAACCAGAACCACTCACCTTGCCAATAGGGACACCCTGGGATGTATATCAATCCAAAAAAGAGCAGAACATGTAAAGAACACCTAGAAATATTAGCAGTGTGACTTTCAGGACATACCAGTGAGTTTTGGTCGAGGTAGGATGAAAACAAGTCATTATTGAGAGAATATGTGTGTGTTTACACTGCAACACACATATGGCAACTGTGTAACACACCGTACATATACACCTTAAACCTTCAATTTGACTCTAATTCAACCACATCATATTGGTATGTTTTGGAACTTGCTGTGTTGACATTTCTAGGCGTTCTTCACCTATCCATGTACTTGATGAGGTCAATATATGTACTCTTGGCCTCTGTATCATGTCGCAAAGTGGCAAAGTGAGTGGTTTTGGTACATGTTCCCATATTTTCTCAATAACCCGTCCTATTCATGATCACAGCTCTTCCACCCTGGTATAATGACTTTTTGGGATGCCTATATTTATTTTGTGACCTCACTGCCTTTGGTACTTCTACTGGGCATCACTCTGGCATGGTAAGTTTTATGATTCGCTTTTTGACCATTTTTGTTGCTAACATGTTCTTCACTTCATACACACCATCCAACCTAGTGGTGGTGCTTTGGGGGCATGTTCTACACTGCCTTGTACACCAGTATTGTGCTCTGATCCCAATAGTAAGTCTCTGATCGCTTTTTTGTGCTTTTTATTGTTTTGATGCATGTATACCATCTAGTCATTCGACCACCAGATTTAGCGGTTCATATTACTCTAATAGAACCATAATACCCTCCATGAACACCGCTTTTGTCCTCCTATCACTGGTGAGTAGTTATGTTGACTTCTATATGACCTTCAGCCAATCCCTTGCCTTGGTCGCATTTTTTGCTGTCCTGGTGCTTTCCCTTTACTCTCCCTTCACTCAGGTATGCTTACAAGACCTCTATGCATGATTAATCAATGCCTAGGGCCATATATTCCCCTCCATCCTTCTCTTACCTTCATTGTTCTCTTTAGAGCGCCCTTCCCAGCTTCCAGCACCCTTTGGTTTAAATTTCTTTTTATCTATGGATATTCTTACATATAAATGGTGTTTTTTCGACCAGGGAGCAATGGCTGGAGGCCCATGGATGAGGTGGAGGAGCTAATTTGCTTGTGGAGTATTAATACATCTATGTACACTTGTTCTCAGCTTACTTAGGTCTGAAAATGCGAGATATATTATCTTAAATAACATATAACACAGTACAGTGAAAAAGCCTGGAGAAAATACATTGAAATGATAGAATACTCGAGCTCACTGTGTGCAACAGCGAGCACAAAGGTTTCAGCAACGTGCGGAGTGGTGCGAGTGAGCGACGAGCATGGATTACCCAATTGGGTTGTTATATTCACGTGCTCTATTTACAGTGGGAATAGTTGGTAGTGTAAGTACAGGTGTTTGGCTGGTGTGCACCGCTGGTGCTCCATACAAACAAGTTTAAGCTTTATTAAGTGTCACTCAGATCACTGTGACGCCAGTTAACATAGTTGATAATGTGGGAATCATAGGTGGACGTATGGTAACTTTCGCACATGGTATTTCCTATATTTTACCCTAAGCAGTTTCATAACCACATATCTACTACACAAAAAACCTGTGACACCGGGTCTCGGGGAAAGTAATGACCGTTCAAGGTTGAGTTGAACTCATTACATGGCGAGACTTCTATACGGACTCATAAATGCCGGTCAATGTCCTCAAATTTCAGCATACCCACTTGCCAATGGTACATCTAACTCTCACAGCCGTATGCAACAAGGATGGCACATCGTTCGAAATGATTATGGTGCAAATCGTGCATAACTCTCATCAAAGAACCTCGAAATTACTCAGGTAAGTAGTATTGGTCAAAAATCGTGAAGGCAGTAGGAAAACAGTCACTAGAGTCCAAGCTTTTCAAACCAAGATGTGAGTGACGATATTGTGATGATTGACCATGCTCAAACAAGATGACCAGCCTGTCCATGAATGGATGATAGACTGTAGTCCATGAGACAATTGATCCGTGACACCCTTGGCAGCACTATCCTCCTGTTCTCACAGTCTGTCAGACCCGGTTTTCTTGTAGGGCGAAACTGGTCTCTGAGACCACCCTCTCCAGAGGGTCTCCCACTCTATTCCTGCAGAGGTTTCAGAGTATCCTCTTGGACCTCGCCAGTGAAGACCTCCATCCTGGTTGGAGGGTTGTCTTACATTATGATCGAGGCTGTGTGAAGTTCGCGAGGCCTCCAGCTTGTTATTGTTAATCAAGAGGAACTTCGTCGAGGGTATCTGACATCCCTTATATTATTTGATCCCTTGGTGCCTATGTTATTTTTGTCGCATATGTTCGAGTCAGTGTGTTTGTCTTGTACTTATATTATTTCAAATATCTTGTACTTTTCTTATGTTTTAATCAACATGTTGCAATGTTCTGATTAAGGGAAACATATCAGATTCGGGCAAGCTTCTCAATGATCTTGCTCCGAAGGAGAAAACAGCAGGCTATGGAGGAGCCGCTATACTGATATTGACAAAAATGAGTTACAAAGTGTAGTAGATACCAAAGTAGGTGGGGTATAACACGGGTGCGAGACGTCAATGAGACAACAACAAGGTAAGCAGACAACGAATGCAGACATGAGCAACACATGATGCAAAAAGAGTAGATCAACTGAAAACGGCCAAAAATGCTTGAGCAGAAGGAGGGCATTAAGTAGCGGGGGGAGGCCTCAGGGGATTGGGCAGATCGCGATTGAATGCTCATGGCATAGCATCGCGACCATAGTCAAAATGAGCACCTTCATCCCATCTCGAATCCTGGAATCTCCTGCTGGGGCCTTGGGGGAATCCACCCTCGCGGTAATTCCCTCCACCAACTGGACGACTATGATAGGGACTTAGTGATTGCCCACGCTCATTGAGGTCATCACGTTGGGGCCTGTATCCACCTTCACGAGCATAGCCTGAGTCAACCCCAGGACTGTATTGGGTTGGGTAGGCACGTTCGCGCTCACCAGGACCATAGTTATCATGAAAATCGGATGCAGGTGAGCTGTCGCAAGTATTCAAGTCACTTTCTGTACGAATATCACCAGATCCATAGGGATCTTGAGGTGGACCATAGCGGGAATTGCGAGAATTGCGGTGGTAGAATGCATCGCGGGGGTGAAGAGTGCTATGGTCGAGGCCACGCGCAGGTTCTTGCGAGTACCCAGAGTACCCTCGGGTGTAAGGATAACGAGGATCAGCATCCCAAGCATCATGAAGGCCATCACGAGGGTCACGTATGACCTCATGATAGTTGTGTGCAGGGTTGCAAACAGCACTTCGAGTGTCTTCATGACGGAGAGGGTTGCGGAGAGGGTCACAACCATCCCAAGGCTCGTGGAGAGGCTCGCGGGGAGGCTCGCGGGGAGGCTCGCAGAGAGGGTCATGATCATCCCGAGGGTCGTGGAGAGGGTCGCATGGAGGGTCATGACCATCTCGAGGATTGTCACAAGGGGCATCATGTGGACGCTCGTCCTGAGTTTCACGAGGAGTGCGGGGACGAGCGGTGTTGGAGTCACGAAGAGGCTGCTGGTTGGGAATAGCAGGGGCCACTACATTCAATGGGGCGGTTGGGGGTAGTTCTTCCTCCATACCTCCTACTACTTCATCCTTCACCAGCTGTGTAGACTTTACCTCCGAAAGATCAGATTGGATATTGGCTGAACCAGTAGCCTCGGGGATGGCGCCCATTGTGGTAGCAGAATCAGCCTTAATGCTCTCATCAACGTCAGACTCGGAGTCCTGATGTTCCGTACACCATACGAAGGCCACGATTCATCACCACCCGAGAGTCCTTGGTGACTGGGCGTGGTTTAACACATTCTAGCGCATGTAAATTCAATCACATGGAATCAATGAAATTAAAAATAAAACATACCCTTTTTGGACTCGTCAGAAGGTCCGTCTCAGAGGCACATTGCTTTACCGGCTTTACCTATCGAACTTTAAGCAAACAGTAAGACAGGATGCACATGATACTCACTATGTTCTGGCGATGACGGACCATTGGTTGATGATCCCACTGTTAATGGGGATAGTGGACCACCTTTCACAGGGAAAGTATTCGAGGTTGGCAAGGGAGGCGGTGCCTTGGATTGCACATTATTCTTACCCCACCCACCTTTCTTCCCCACTTTTGGAGCATTAGTCTTTTCAGTAGACGGGGCAATCTTCTTTAACGCACGCGATGTATTCGCGGACTTGAGCTTCCTCTTCTTTCCATGTCCTGGTTTGTTGTACTCAGGGTCGGACTCATCCACGGGGTCCTCTTCAGTGGACGTAACTTTGATTACCTCACTCTGAGTTGCAGGTGGCTTGGGAACCACTCTGAAAGGACGCGATGGTGGTAGTGGAGGTTGGACGACTTTGAAAGGTCGTGAGGGTGGGGGTACAACTTCGACTCGCATATTAGGGTTAGGCTTTCAGACAATTGTTTGAGGTAGGGGCTTGGGTGCAGAAGTTCCAACTGCGTCGTCATTGTCCACACCTTCATCATTGGAGGGTGGTGGAGGGGACTCGGGTGCTTTACCCTTTTTGACCTTCGTAGTTGCTGTGCTAGGCTTGAGGCGAGGAAGACCGTTGTGATCAGTGTGACCATCAAGGAACAACCGTCGTGCACCATGATGGGGCCATTCAGGTGGAGGTGCTTCGCCCTCGATTACAGCCTTCTCAGAAGTGGTCACAGCCGCTATATATCACGTAAGTATAACATTGTTACTATAATATGATACGTACGTCGATCCTCCTTGGGAAATTGGGTGATGCACATAGTGCCTGCCTTCAAAGAATCAACAAGCACGGCGATCTCCTTCTGCATTAGTGCCCCAATGCCTTTGTTTAATGCATGTTTACTGTGAGCTTCGCCAGGCAATATGCATTTGTGCACAGGATATCCTTCGATCCTGAGATTGACTTCCACGAGCGCAGCCAGCATGAGCTTCCAAGGGAAAATCTTTCCGCTGTTTATTGTGCAGTGAAATTTGGCTGGTGCGATGCAGGGCATGTCAGTCTAAATGAGGATGAGTGGCAATCATTGCACGTACCAGCTTGCTTAGTGATTTCTTGCTTCACAAATTTCAACCCATCCTCCCATCGTCCCTCCATGACATCAGAAGCCTGGTCTACATCGTTGGCAAGGCTTGGTGTCGGTTTTTCGTGGCTATCGTCCTCGGTTTCTGGAAAAGCTTCTTCGACTGCAGATAGTGATGTGGTGTTACTGGTTGGGGCCATGTAAGTGTTATGTAGCATGAGCATAAATGTACTTACTACACGTGGGCTTTTAGATGACTGATGATCGCGTCATCACTGGCACAGCATTGCATTTCCCAGAACTGCGAGTTGCTGAGTACATGTTGAAATTTGAAATAAAAATGAGCTTACCCCAGCAGCGCCAGGTGTGCTGTAAGAATGACCAAGTGAACCATCTTCATTAACCACTTTACCACATAGTACAACAGCTGCTTCAAACCCGAATCTAGCGGAGCAGGACTGAAGCTATAACAACAAATGTCAGATAATGTTGACACTTCGGTAATATTTTTGGAACACCTGTCCACGCTGGGCTATGGTTTGGGGAGATGCACCCAGGAGAGATACTTCCTCGTGCTTTGATAGGATGTCTTGATAGGCATCTGGAAAGGTGTCCTTGAATTTCTCGTAGCATCGCATTCGCAAGGTTGCACCTGTGAAGGATGTGAGCGTGTGGTATCATGCTGTAGTTTCATATGAACTTACTAGGTGTCCCACTGCCTTCCGGTACCTCTTTTCCAATGCGGCCGAGCTCCTCCTGTATGTGGTCCTTGAAGTAATTCGCATAAAGATTCCAGTAATTGGTGCCACTCACACTGCATCCTCGAGACTTCAGGTATAAGTTAATTAATTGATTCATGGGGAGGGTGGTGGACACTGAGAGCTCAAGAAAGTAACGCTCAATGTCCACAAACCCAGTATCGAGTGCTGCATTCATATCTGCTGACCTGCGGCCAGTTACCACTTGATCCTCTTGGTGCGTTATTGGCTTGCTCTCTTCAGGGAACTGAACGCGGTGGGTGGCAGCTGGAGGATAGTACCCTGTGTCCAACTTCAGACTGGGGTCTCTTTGGGGTCCATTATCAGTGGACGCAGAGGTGGCAGAGGTATTACTGCCACCATCTTTGAGTGGTGTTGGCAGGATGATATTCGTGGCTGGGATAGGACGAGCATCATCTTGAGATGGTAAAGATGGCACAGAATGCAGGGTGAATGATGAGTTCTGCATAAATCCCAAAGAAGGTTGACCTGCTGGATCTAGCGAACATCCGCGAGACATGCCAGACTGAGCAGATGAACTGGCAGGAAAATGAAAAGGCGTGTGGGAAAGCAGAGATGCAAGGCAGGTTGCATTCTGCGCGTTGATAGGTTGAGACCCTTGCACATTAGTCACAGACGGTGCAGGCCACAGCGACTTTTCGCCCACTCCAACCATACCTAGAGCTTGATCTCCGAGTAATCCAGTCGCCATGAAAGGATGAGGCTGCATCATGCCGAAATCATCAGATGGGTTTTGCTCCATCCAAGGAGGCTGCTGGTCCATAGGGCCGTAAAACAAATCCTGTAGTGGTGCAGGAGCTGGTGGAGGAAAGGGTGAGGCATGGCGACTGTTAACCATATTCAATGTAAGCGATGACGTCTCGCTTGTTGAAGTTGAAGCACCGTCCTGCGCCATGTGGTGGAATGGACCTATAGGAAGCTGAGCCTCAGTGGAGGGATTTTGATAGGCCTGGCATCAGGCAGAGGTGTCCTTGACAATACCAATGTCCCACTCTGTGTCTTTGAGTCTGGTCCTCAGCCGTGAGGGCGTCAATTCAGCAGGCGGTAATTTGTATCGACAACCTCCGCCAAACTGTTCCACGATATAGTCGAAGGACACAGGAGATGAGTCCATGTAGCTCGGACTAGGAGATGGCCGTTGGTCAACAGCAGAAGGATTTTCTGTTATTTTCTGTGTCATGTCTGTAGTTAAGATGTCAATGATAGAACAATATTGGGTACATGGGCGTGCATACCTATATACAACAGCGATGGCGAGAGTGCATTGTGAGCGTAGGCATCATATCAAGTAGTAACATGGGAGGGTGTTGCTTACCAGATCAGGGGTATGTTCGACGAGGGTAACATCGAGGTGGTTTGTCTGTTGGTTGGATTGTAAAAAATACTAAGTAAAATTGAGGGGAATACTGAAGGTGAAAAAAAATGTACCCCAAGGCTCATACTTAAGAGGCATACCCACAGTGTTGCTTTGTGGAAGGACCCCATCGGTTCATTAAGACTAAAAAGAGATAGATGAGCATTGATACAGAGGCTACATATGAGATACAAAATGATTTTACGAAGGTCAGGAATGATAGTTGACGAGGGTTTGGAGGGTCAGAGAGATACGCTCACAATCATCGCTGTGGCTCTTGCGAGGCTTCAGAGAGGGTTCCATACAGATGACTAATGGTACTGACAAGGACGCAATCAGATTGAAAATAAATCTAGTACTGAGTTTGAAATGCACTGATGGAAGACATATATTTCATGTCCGAGTCATGCCCATTCAGCGTGCCGCCAACAGACACTGCGGCCTGAAACAATGGTAAGATGTCAGTGAAACTTTGTATGGTGGTAACGAAACTTACTGACAAACAGCCGATATCCCACTGAATAACGAGACCTAGACCTCATCTCGTTTGCCATAGATACTCATGGTATTAGTGTCTAATTCAACTTCATAATGAGCATGTGAAGGGTCGATAGTTTCTCAAAAATTTGTACAATATTCCTCCTCCAGCTTGGTATTAACAACTGTGCTGAAATGTGGGGTCTTTGTGTACAGCTGTGTCCTTCCTTACCGAGAGCCGCACTGTAACTTTTACAAGCCATATCATATCTTACCACTATAACTTCATTCAAGCCTTGCCACCCAAACTCTTTGCACAACAAAGTGTGGTCCTCCAGGGATTCAGGACAGTTGGTGAGGGCATTGACAAGGGCCATAAAAGCAGTCCGCGCCCCCCATATACCGTCTTCATCAGGTAAGGAGACATTGTTGGTTGCAGGGTTGTTGCTCTGGCCATCTGATATGTGGAGAGTAGCAACCAGAGACTCAAAGCGGAACAATTCATCGTAGGCAATGCAGTATTCTGACAATGCTGCCATGATGGCCTTATGACCCTGGTTAAGCGAGAGTACACAAATCGCGGCAAGAAGTTCTGCAGCAAGTGTTCATGTCTTCAGAGAGGCGCCGTAAAGGGAATATGCTATATGGGTAATGATTGTAGGTGACAACAATACACTGTCAAATCTGGCCTGTAAAACAGATGAGGTATAAAACCTAGTAGATCGACGATCACATTTACCTGGGTGTTGAGGAGTACCCTGAGGCACTTGATGATCTCCAGTAGTACTGAAGTTGGCCAAGGGGTGCCAGAATTCGCCATCAAGGCATCGAGAGTAACTGAAGAGGATGAGATCCTCGAAGCTAGTAAGGTACACGATATGATGAGCCATTACACTGAAAATTAACATATCACCCTCACCACCTTTCTCGATGACATACTCAATGCTACCTCCTCTAGGCATGCGTGCAAATGAGAGACACAACGACAACTGCCATGCAATGAAACCAGACTGTAGTGCAGGCCGACATTAACATTCGGGACCTGGTTTCAGTTGCGCTCTCCTCTCTAGCTGTATGTGCTCCCGTATTTCCAAGTCTTCAAGCTTGAAGTGGAGGGCATTAGAGGTGTGTCCATTGCAAAAGTATTTCTCAGTCTCACAACCATGAAATTGACATGGTCCAGCTAGCTTACCTTAGCGAGTCTCCCTGGTGTCCTGGACTTAGTCCAGGACAGCCTAACTTCTATTGATTTCCCTTTTGGTTACACGCACCACCAAAATTTCATGAATCTGACCAGAGTTACTTTCATCAATGGCAGCTGGGCCTTCTGCAGTCGAAGGCCACACGTGAGTCTTATCTGCTGATGGTTGCAATCCTCCTCTACCACTCATCTATACCTCAGCAATCATGAATTTCGCTAAACTAGACTCTCTTCTCCAATGCATTGCAGCACAAAATGGCTTGCCAGTGGAGACGGTGTTGGAAAGGTGGCTGGAGAAGCGGCAAGTGAGCGACCCCGACAGATGGAGAAGCCTTGACAACATACCATGTATTGTTGGTGGGCTATCAGCGCTGCTTGGTGAGTTCGATGTTGACATCTTCTAGAACTCTTGCTAAGAATGATGCAGGGAAGCTTGAAGGACTGAGGGGCAATGTTTCCGTGGAAGCTCCTACCAAGAGAGCTAGCCCATCATGGCTATGTCCTCCAGCACTATCCCAAAAATGTCCTGATGCCTGGTGAGAAACGCCCCACTCTCGTAAAGAGCAAGGGGATACACGACCTCTCACTTCGTGAGCGCCGAGTCTTTGTGGATGCCCTCAAGAACAACCTGCTCACCATCAAAACCATCACCAAACAAAGTGCCCTCGCGAATCTCATGGCCTCCCACAGCCCTGTCATCATCGGGGAAGCGCCTGCACCTCATTCCAACCACACTCGTGGGCGGCGTTGGTATGCTGATGGTCAATCTGATTGACAGGGTCTTCCTCGCCTCAACTTCAACTCTCCTATGCCATCTCCTGCACCATCTCCTACTCCTGTGCCACCGTCTTGTGGACAAAATATTACATCATCTCCTGCACAGTGTCTTACTCCTGGGCCGCTGTCTGCACGAGCTCCTATGGTGGCTCATGCAATGCATCGTCGGGAGAGACTCAAAGTATTTGTCGATGTCCCACCTCCCCCACCCTCCTGGAGGTCAGATTTCAATCTAGAACGAAACCTGTCACCGGTAGGTAGACCCGACACCAATGGGCTCATTCCACAGATATCCTGCATAGGACAAGGTTCCCAATGTCCTGATGGGGCCGCCTATGGGAAAGACAAAGATGAGGTGGAGGTAGACGAGCTTCTTGCATCCTTTTGAAGTAAAGTGGGGTTCAGAGAAGTTGCACTCAGAGTTGTGTAGTAGTGGGATCTGCCTTTTTCCATTGCCCGCCTGTTTAATTGTCCATACATACTTCGCTCTTTCTGTGTCTGTCCCACATACTCTGTGTAGACAACTACACGAGCACTTGTAATTCGCCATAATTTGAGAGTCAGAGGGGCTGAGGAACGAAAAAATGTTTGACGTAATTACATACTCGAATGTAACTGTCTCATGCGGAGACTTTCTTGAGGGAAACATGAAGGATACCGCGTGTTGGAGCAGACCCATCCACTATCGGCCTATCGGAACATATTAACAGTGAAACTTTATCATAACAAAAAGGTAGAGATTAATCAGTAGTTCAGACACTGATCACTCTAACACTTACAGGTTTGCGAAATCCACACCAGACAATGGAAGCTCGCAGGTAGAGCACAGGATCACAGTCCCATCATATACACAGCGGGGCAGTGAACAGGAGAGGTATACTTGTGAAACAGTATACCTCTGCATCAATGTCAAGCTTAAGAGGGTTGCAAGGAGGCTCTCACAAGGTTGGCGAGGGTTCATGTTCAGATGACAATCATGAGCCAATGAGATTGAAAATACGAATAGTACTTGGTTTAAAAGACATATGTACAGGCATTGACCGCCCACCTCATTGTCTGGACTAGCCTCATCGACGCTAGCAACATGCCCCATCATGCTCATATGAATATTTTAACAAGAACTTCATCGTGGATGGCCATATTACATTTCAACAAGTAACTAGACAGTTACAGCGGTGAGATGTTCACATCAACTTCGGTTGACTTTGACTATTTGTCCAATAAACCTAACCATGGGCCACCGAGCCAAGTACTTCCCATTAGAAGAAAAAATGGCAGCTGCTCGTTGACATACGGAATCATATTTGCAGTCAAAATGGTAAGCATCATTCAGTGATTTGTTATTGCAACGTTATTGATATGTTTTTCAGAGGCAAAATCGTTTGGCAAGCACAGAATGCTCGTGCTTACACTAAACATCATGGTCAATGTGGACCTCATACAACATTGAAGGACCTGCACAACCCTCTACCGTCTTCTATATTGCAGTTTGCCAATCTTCCTCTTCCCAATTCCTATCTCTTTCACCAATTGCTCAATGGTTCTGACTTGATCAATGTTTTGGATCTCTCTCAGTGGGACAAAGCCCCACCTTACAATTCTCTACCTCCATCCGACTCACCGGAAGAGCAGCGTTTCACCTAGAATCTCTTTGACATGATGCACAGACACAATTTGCATATGGAAAGGGAATCTCGGGCCCATCGCACAGCTATGTATGATGCAGGAGAAATATCTGAAGTTTTGAAGGAGCTTCGAGATGCACAGAAGGGGTTGCTTGAAGGCTGGGATGAACTGAATGCTCGTGTCGCTGACCAACGGCAGGTATGTGCAAGACACAAGCTTATGGCTGAGTGCTACTGCCAGGGGGTAGCGCGGAGGATCTTAAGTTATCAGGAGGAGGTTGATTTGCTAGTTACTGGGCAGAGTCTATACTGTCATAGTCCATAATATCATTGTACTACTCTACTTCAAATCATACCTGTAAACTGGTAACACAAGAACCATAGTCCAAAGATAGCGTCACAGATTGACCATGTCCTGCTCAAGTACTCCCATAATATGTTTACTGCGTACAACAGCAAAAATCGTTGCTAAAACCCATACACCACAGTCAAAATCATTATTCTGGACGCATTGGACCTAAAATAACACAAAGTGATCAGAAAAGTTGTGATAATGGAGTGTGAAACTCACGTTCAACGGTCGAGCAACCCACCCTTCAAGGTCAATATTAACACGATGTTGGTGTTGGCATGCGATAGCAAGGAACCAAGCAATTAGTCTCATGATATCCTTTCAGATCCAGATCTGATCAGTCAAACGCAAAGGTATGATTTAAATTGAACCTACTTTAACATCATTTTGCCAAGGCTGCCTATTACCCAGGCTATCAAAAAGATGAAGTTCTTTGTTGGATAGGCGGATGACACATAGCACCCAGTGCCCAATGCCCAACGGACGATGAATGGGAAGCACCCAGATATCTTTTTCCCAATAACGAACCCATGATGAATTGTGCCAGATGACATTGTCTGGCGCATTGTAACGAATGTGGGGAAGATCGTGGGTTGAGAGGATTGCACATTGTGCGCCCGATGTCTTGAGCTGAGAGTGCCAGAGAAGTATAGCACAGCTGTTGATACATACATCATTCAGGCATGCTGTGGGAGAACTAAGGAAGCCGATATCCCTAGGGTCAAATATCTGACGAGGGATACCATCGTGCGAGCTAGGGCGTACTCGGGCGACAATTTTACCAGGTATGAGAATGCCGGGTTCACGCATTGGAATGCACAATGGAACATTAAAGTCATCCACAAGAAGATTCTAGTATATTCTAATCAGTGCATTCCTGACAGTAAATGTCAATGTACCTCAGGAAGATCCCAACAAATAACAGCATTAGCTTCACGTCCGTAATCTGTTGAGTCATCATCGTCATCCAACTCCAGTATGCCCACCTGACCCTCCAGAACATCAGCAAGTGCTGCTTGTTCGGAATCAATGGGCGGGGAATGGTCAGGATCAGTGAGGGGAAATTCATCCCCACCCTCAGGATCTGGCGCCACAAGTGTACCACTGTTGATGGAAAGAAGTGTTGTGCTGCGCGAGGCTCCAGAGAGGGTAGTAGCAACATCCAGTGCTTTGTTGACTTGGCTGACGAAGCATGCCGGAGAAGCCAAAGAGTTGGACCATCGAGATTGAAGTCGGACGAAATTAGCATGCTGTTGCTGTAATGGAACAGCAAACGCTTCACCTAAAGTTAGATTACACATTAACAGAAGGTCGTTAGATGAATTGAATTAACTCCCTTTCTGGCAGGTGAAGAGTGAGTTCAAGTGCTGCCAGTTCATCACCGAAGAAATGACAAAGATTATCAGCCTCAATGCTGAGGCGGATCTGCTCTTCTTCGCACTGATCTCGCTTTAAGAGTGCACGTATACCGTCCCTGATGTGTGAGTCCTCCAACCATCGGGGAACTTCTCCTACCGACGGTGTAATCCATACATCTTCCATTAATCTTGGGTCGTTACATAGTTTTGTAAGTTTGGTTGGAAGAGGGGCGGGCAGTGGAATCCCCCAACTCGGGTCATACAGGGAATCTAACCGTTCACAGTAGGAGTTGAATTTTCGAATGGCAGTCATGAGGGCAGGTTGGCGCTTTGCTATCACTTTGCGTGTATGCTGATGGAGCTTAGCGCCTGCGGGTAATTAACAAAGGATACCGTCTTTGCGAGTTGCTGTAGATGCTATCTGAGAAGAGAAGAGTATCATTGCTACTCTTAAGACATTATGGCTAGACTACTATGATGTGAACTACCTGAGCAACTTGGGCGAAAGCGCACAGTGCTTTCCGATCCCGATCCGCGTATCCTGTGATAGAAAAGGTGAGCTGCGAAGCCCAGAACAGAAGGAGTTCGACGACGCATGGAGCAAAACTTGGGACCCAGGATAGTAGGAGGAGAACGAGTACTCATGTTGAGTGTTTAACGTACTTGCGGCATTGTGTACCGAAGGAACTCGTCTTGAAGGGCTGGTGTGGCCTGTAGGTATGGTGCCAAGATTTGAGCATGTTTGCGGAGGTATAGCTGGAAGGCCTCACTGGCCCAGCGGCCCATGGTCTTTACCACGTTGAATGGAATGTTCCACAGTAAGTATTCTAGCGTGACGCCAATCCTTATGCCGTGGCCTTGCAATGGGTCTAGCCCCGCGTCCTTGGTGGCCTTGGCAAGCCTTGAGATGAATTTGGATTTGGTGAGGGGCTGGTGTGTGTTACCGTATTTGTAGGCGAAGAGAGCGCCGTTGATGGGAGGATCATTAACGCAGAAGTGATTGGCTAGCGCCGCCTCTGGGTCTGTTGGGCCATTCTGCTTGCCCCAAAAGAGATCTTCACTGGCTGGTGCAGACTTTGTGCGTGGTAGGTGGAAAACCATCATTTGCAGTCCATTGCAATCTGTGTCCCGGCAAATGTCCCAGCGTTTCACGTGGGCTGAAGGGTCGAAGGTTGTGAGGTTGGGAACTGTGAATTCCCCAACCCTCGCAATGGAATAAAAGGCCATGGTGAGGCAGCTACCGACTGCGGCATCAAGGGGGACCTCTTGATTGAGTTTCAGCAGGATGTGAGAAATGAAATCGACTGTGTAAGGTTGCCGCTTTTTCCGTTTTGACGCGGCGGGGGTAAGGTTGATGGCTGCTTTCACCAGGGCGTCAATCTGGTCATCCTTCAGCACGCATGTGACACCATGCAAGGTATGCCATACCTGGATCCCATGGATATAGTTTGAAATGGTTTTCCTGAGTAGATCCCTGCTAGGCTCAATATGAAAGCCAAGATGAGCTTGGACGATGCGGGTGCTTGCAGCTCCTCCCCGATTGACTTAGAGTCGCAATAGACATGGTACGCCAGGATGCCACTGCCATAGGCTTCTCGGGTGCTGTGTGCCCACGCGTGGATCATCACATCTTGAATGCGCTGTGCATCCGCATGGGGAAGTGATGTTGATGATGAGCGAGAGTTCAGTGGGAGCCATAGCCGGAGGTGGTCCTTCGTGGGGCAGTGAGGACATAGGGGAGAGGCTCGAGGTGTCAGATTAGCAGGATAGGCCGTGGTAAGCTTGCGTTGCTTGGAGGAGGTCCTCTCCTTGTCGGCGAAGCTCGTCATTGAGTCTAGTGCAGTGGTCGAGTGCGTGATGGCCTTTGTTGTTGGAAGAAGCCATTTTTGCGAGCGGGAGACCAGTGCTGCCTTCTGAAGTGAGCATGGGAGCATCATAATCAATGACGAAACACTTGAGAGGTTGGGGAATTGGGATGGGGGGCAGAAGTAGGCTGGTTGGGGGGTAGATCCCGCAGGAAGGGTCATCTGCTGGGTTGTGGGCACTGGGAACATAGCGAGTGAGGATGGAACATTTGGCGTCCTCAACGAGAGTGTGAATCCGTTTGAAGACGGCATTGGTAGCTTTGTTGCGGCTCCTGCCTTTCCACCATCCTTCAACGACACCACGGTTGTCTCCGTAAACCTTGATGCAAGTATTCCATTCCAATGGCTTCTGCCCAGCCAATGTCTCTACTCTCTGCTTTCCAGCCTGGGAGGAGGCGCCACACATGCCATCTCCTGTTGATCCAAATCGCGATGCCAACACCTGAGCTAGCGTCTGAGTAAGCTGCGGGGTCAGTGACTTTGGTGGGGCCAGGGATGAGTTGGGAGATGTTGGGTTGAGAGAGGTGGGCTTTCCACCAGCAGAGATCTCCTCCGGTGGCTTTGGGAGGGGAATGTGGCATACATGGACGGTCACCGAAGATGGAAAGCACGGCCTCGAGCGATACCAGGTAGGCTCTACCTGCCGGTAGGACCAGGGAGGCGTGAAGAAGTTTTCCATGTAGTTGCTGAACTTCGAGCAGGGTGTGAGTGGGTCTGCTCCCCCACTCCCTAATGGCCTCCAGGTACTTCTCTTTCTTTTTCTCTGGAATGGATATTGTGCGGGCTGCAAGATCTCAAAGGAAGCCAATGAACGGTGCATACAAGGAGAAGAAGATGTCCTTCGTGAGTTCCCAGGGAATGCCAAGGATTTTTGACAGGCGGTCAATATCTGCAAAGCAGTAGGTAAACAGTGTGTCCTCGAGTGAATGAGGCGAGCATTGCGACAGGTCTTTGATGTCACAAGAAAAATCCTCATCATACTCCTCAGTTCACCCATCAGGCATTGTAGCACCTCGGTACCACTTTCAGCCCCCATCCACAATGAGCCCACCATTCCTAGCAATAATAGCAGCGCGAGATTTATGGAGAGTGTTGTACCTATGTAGATGTTCGTGTAGGATGCAAACGAAGAGGTGGTCATTGACCCACTTCAAAAGGGGGTCGATACCTTGTGAACGGAAAATGTCCGCCCCCATGTCAGCCATTTCTCCATATGAACCTGCTGCCGCTGTAAAACCGAAACAAAAGCTAGAGTCAATTGCGAAACTGTCAGGTCCCGTCCTGACCACCAATCCTGGCCATTGGGAAGGGTGTAGTGGAACCGTGCGATAAGCTTCTGCAACGTCTCATACCACTGCTTGTGACCCTGGTGGAAGGCACCAGATGAGAAGGCAGATTGTGGAGGCTGTGCCCCAGGTGCATGGATAAAGATCTGAGTTGATAGCGGAATTGATTGATGATATGGGCGGAGAAGGTCTAAGGGGAAAGGATAAGTTCTGGACCAAGCGGAACTTTCCTGGTTTCCCTGGTTTGAGGACCAGGGAAAGGGGGGCAGTCTGAAAAGGACCAATGAGAGTTTTGGTTTCGGTTTTTGTGAGCGGACCAATGTAATGACCGGTAGAGTATTCTCGATTAAGTATGGTAGAGAAGGCATCGTGATGTTCAAGTATGGATGGATTATTAGGTGGGGTATAAGTATGTGATATAGCGGGAACACTGCCCATGAAACCAGTCCACAAATCGTTCGGAATATGTGCATATTTGTGCATAACATTAGCAGATGTAAGGTAGTGCAGCCAGGCTTCGGGCTGGTAAGGGGTGAGCGCCTTAGCTGCTCTCGCCTTGAGGGCATTCCTGAGCTCCGTGTTCCTTGTTCCCGCATCCTGAACACTCATGGACGTGTGATCAAGCAGTGCTCATGCAACCTCTCAGCCTTTGCCAGTCGTAGCATAGCTCGCAACCTTTGGGGTTGATGAGGTGACCTTCTGCATTTCGGCGGCAGCGGGTCTTGGTTCGTTTGTCCCAGAGGAATTCATATGCACATTTGTGGATGTTGTGTCGAAAGCGGCCCAGACATAGGGCGCAGGCCGAGGGGCTGGTTTGACCTGTGCCCACAGGAAAAGACTGTTGGCCTTTCGATGGGCGCTTCCCTGCTTGGTTGGCAGCTGGGGAACGGTATGGGTGGTAGTGCTTGTCTGTCGGAGAAGACGGGGGTTCGGCGTTGGATTTTTCATGCCCCGACCCACTGAAGTCTCGCTGACGTGGCCGCACTGACCCTTGGGTTGATGCAAGTGAGTTCTGAAGCTGGGTGCCGCAGATGGCAAGTGGGGAGGTATGTTCGGTGCAGCAAGGAGTTTGCTGCCGATGGGGAGCAAGTGAGCAGTTAGCGAGTTGCAAGTGGAGGGGGGGGGGGGGGGGGGGGAGCATTGCCATTGCCAGTGCAAAGCGGGCAGGTAGCATGTCCCAGTGAGGTGTGAGAGCGAAAGTGGGTGGCATGTGTCACATGGGTGGGAAGTGTGAAAGCGAGGGTAGAAAGCAAATGATTTGTCAGGTTTGTTCGATCTAAGGAATGAGGAGATGTACCAGCCTGATCCCTTCGTCGCGCTCCGCCTCCCAAATGTCATCGGATAGAGTGCTGTATAAGGATCCATTGAAGATGCCGATGTTGAAACCTTGGTTCTGGGCCAGGCGATCGTGCCACTCCCGACGTACCAGCCCCGCGTAGCGAAGGAGGGTCTTTTCTCCTCGTGGGCGCATTCTGTGCTCGTGGTTGGTTATGAGCATGAAGAATAAAGCAAGCACCTGCTGGTGCTTTTCTGGCCATGCACATTTCTCAATGTGGACCAAGAAGCTCGTCTTAGCAATGTCGAACTGACGCCACGAGAGGTCGTGGTCTTGCAGGGCTTTCTGCGAGGCTTTGAAGGACGAAACGGGTTTGAAAGCAATGAATCCGTCAACCTTCGTGAGTCCAAACACGTCCTCTGCGGACGATCTAGAACTGTCAAAAGCATCCCGGCAGCCATCTGGGCTAAAGTACCATAGTTCCACATATTCCATGTTCTTGATCTTCTGCAGTGTGAACTGGGATGGGCGCGGAACAAGAACATCAGCTACCAGTGTATTCGTATCAAAATTGTTAATCTTGGGCTTCTTTTTCTCCGCTTCGCAGTGCTCATTCTCTTCCTCAAGCTCTCGCTCTGCACGAGTGCGTTCTTCAAGTTCTCTTTCAGCACGAGTTTCGTTCTCGACCTGCTCTTGCCAGAGGTCTATGCGTTCTTGGTGCTCGCACCTCCAGCCGTCTATCATCTGTGTGAGGGTGTCCGCCCTTGCAATACCGGCATTAACTAGGGCATTGAGCCACCCTGCATATGCATCGGATTCAAATTGGGCTGCACTTTGAGAGCCGGGTCGGCCGCAATGTTGTTCATGAATAAACGGGAGAAACCAGGTGATAATAACCAGGCTTTGGTGAAAGAAAGAGATCTGAGAAATTCATTCAAAGACTGAATGAAGAAAGAAAAGAAAAGAGGAGGAAGAGAATTGTTGCGGACGACTGAGCTGATGAGATCGACAGATGCGGTACGAGAACAAGAAGGAGGGTACCACATCTGTCGCTTGCACAAAGACCAAATTCTATTCCTCCGCTCGTGCCTCGTTACGTAGTAGAATGACAATCATAGTTAACAATAAGGTTCAAACTTACCCAAAGCTTGTTGGGCACCTCCAACAGTGCGGTCAAGCTTGTCCCATTCGAAGAAGCTTGCGATAGCACGTTTACGAACGTTCATCTTCAGGTCCCGGGCCATTAGAAGAGTACAAACAAAATCGAGGTTGACCCCTTGAAGTTCAGGGAATCTGTCATGAACATTTAGAGATGAGTAAAGTGCCTCAACTTTGTCCATTAGCCAACCATATCCTCTCTCCAGGCTCTGCAGAGCTTCTAGTGTGTCATCAGAGGCTGATTCTTTCTCTAGCATTGCTCTGGTAGTCTGCAGTGTTCTATCCGACGCATTGAGATCTGTCTGGAGGGCTAATATGGTGTCCAGCTCTTTCTTGAGGCGAGCCGGAGCATCTTGGAAGACCGTTCATTAATACTGACAAGCTATAATAAATTGAACTCACGAGCACGTATAGATAACTGTGAATGCCATTGTTGGGACCACTGAGACCGTAATTCATTGACAGGGATTTTGCAATGGTCTAGCATATCTTGTGCTGCTGACCCTTGTTCTTTGATGCCACATCTGAGGCGATGTTTGATCCAATCCCCAAGATCGGCTCGCATTTTCGGACCCTATGGCTGTGGCTTGTCGATCAATAAGCCAGAGGCGATGTTGACGCTAAAGAAGGTTTCATGTGAAAAGCATCATAATGAAATTGATGCGAGACATACAGAAGAAGTCTTCTCAATACCAATCAGGCGAACAAAGCACGACCAAAGACGCTCAGTCCCTTCCCCGTCGGATAGGCCAAGTCCAATGGACATTCGTGGATTATAGACGAGCTGACATGCCCACTCATGGCTGTAAGCATGCATTGCAGTTGTCGCAAAACGAAGTCTGTGTGGTAATGTTTTCGGGAAGAATATTGTACTGGAGAGGTGTGAGCGAACAATCCAAACATCAGTGATAGCCTGAGCATACGTTTGCAAGTGATCGCGCGAGAACACAACCAACGTCATACAAAGCGACAACCGTTGCCTGGTGTGGGAGTAATGAAAATAAGTGCTGGAGGAGGGCCACCAAATACTTCTGTTGTTCTCCAGGAGAATCAATGTTAGCGAAAAACAACGGGATATCATGGCGACAAATTAATGCCATAATCCCTGTGTCATCGAAGTTATCCATCGCGGCTTTCTGCTTCTTGCCGTCAGCAGCCTCGTAAGCAGTTTCACATTGGTCTATGGCCTCGTCAGGGATGAGGGAAGCATATGTCCTTGGAGGCTGCTTATGTAGGGCGTCTATGCGGCGGCCGATATCATCAACAAAGGTTTTCGGGATAAAGTATGTAGGGTCGTAGAAGGCTGGACAATCGCCAGCAGTGCGTCGATGACGGTGATGGAAATTCCCATCCGTTGCGACATGGATATCGCCTCCTTCGTCTGTGGGTCTACCATAGCATATGCCCCCGAAACAAGCGGGGCATCTTTGAACCAGAATGGGCGCGCATCGTCCTGGATGTAAGGTAGGCGAATGAGTTTCAGGGATGTCAGAGGATGCTTGCATGGTCATGATACGCTCCCGGCTTTGTTGGAGAAGGGTCTCGAGTTGTTGTTCGACTTGGACTTGCAGTATGTCAAACCATTGGACAGCATAGCCGAGACCTCGACGAAACGGGTCCTGGATAAGTCCGCCCTTCCAAAATGTGTCAGTAGTAAATTAAATACATAATTGAAACGTACCTGTGCGTCTGTCATCTGGAATCCCTTTCCACGTTTTCGGAGTGAAGTGGGTGGGCATCACCAAGACTCATGTGTTCAGCGGTATCGTTTCGAGCTGCAGCATGAGCAGGGTCAGCAGACAATACCTGCGAGCCTGATTCTTCAAGTTGAGGCTGCATAAGTTGCTGCATTTCAGCTAGAAGTCGGCGACGCTTTGCCTCCGCGCCCGGTATATTGACTAATGTTTGTGTTTTTCGTTTGTCTCGAGCCTTCGTCGGGCTCACAAAGTGGTTGCCTAGCCCTGAAGATGTGAACTGAGCTTTGCGAGTGGGAAGTGTCGAGGAAGACATCGTGGAGGTAAGAATAGAAGGACGTACCACCATGAAGGAGGTATCAACAAGGCCCCAATGTTAAGTTCATGGAAAGCACGCGAGGGAGCTGCTGGAGGTATGGGTCGTGTTTCTAGAGGTCCGCGAGAGGTGCCGTGAGAGGGTTTCTGGGCATTCTAGAGGTGCGAGAGGTATCGAACAGATACGGGAGGGTTCTAGGAGGGTGGAGCTGGAGGGCCGCGAGGTGGGCTAGGAGTATATGTTATTAATAGATGGGGGGAGGGTGGGTCTCAGAGACTAGTTTCCCATAACATAGAAACCGGGTCTCTTAGACCCTTTATAGGCACCGAGAAGTACTGCCTGAGGTGATCCGTGATGGAGTATGATTAATATGGAGTGGGGAACTTGATGATCGAGCCATCATTGTGATTTGACTCGAAAAAGCCATCTAACGCCACGTCCACACCCATACATTCCCGCGTCGTGAGCTCCCCCAATTCGCGCGGAGTCTAATATTGGCCCAAGTTGAAAACCAAAATCCGATCCGTTGGATTCGACAAAGTGAGTAGTGGTCCAGACAATGAGTCCGGTAGTGAGAAGTTGAGTAGATCGATGGGTATTCACGTTTGTTGGCATAAGATGACAAGAGAGTTACTGTAGGAGACATACTGTTGTCAACCTGTCATGTGGAATCTTCAGGGTAAAATTCTTTGATATTTAACGCTAGCAGCGGCGTCAAGGTGCAATGGGTCACTTTGACCAGATGCCCCCTGGCTCATTGAATGGGAGTGATACCCATGACCCAATCTTGCTGTCTGACCAGGAGATGTATATTCAACTCAACGTCCGCATCTGGGATATAAGTTTGAAACTTACATATATCGTCTTCGCGCAGACGTTGAGGGGGAAGAGTTGGAGAAGGGCTTAGATCTGAGAAGGGTGTATCGCTCTAGGAACTTTGTGAACCTGCAATGATTAGTGTTGTTATTGATACACGTAGGGTCAACACCCACAAAAGTTCAACGTGAGTTGGAGAATCAAGTTTCAACATCTTCAATCTTCGACGCACGGATCTACTACTGATGAGTTCAACAGCTGCGGCTGTCTGCGGCAAAAATGGCGCCGGCAGCGCCGCGCTCGAAATGGTATGATGATAGTATGTGAACCAACAGTGCTATGGAAATGCGTCATGAGTCATGACAAACATAGTAACAGTCATGGATACACCTGGAAGTCGATAATGCCCCTGGAAATCTCAGGTGAGTGTCCAGTGGCCCAGCGCCGAACAGGGACGACCAAACCTGGACCACCACAGCTATGGGACCTCCTCATGCATACGAAATTGTTCACATGGAACCTGAGGTCTTGAGGTTGATACGATCAAACTGAAAAGTCGAAGAGTTTGAAGACAGTTGTAAATTACGATGGCTCCCCAGAGCAAGTGCGACACACCCCTGCATGATCTTCGAGTGGGAAGGCACGAAATGCGCGTTGTGAGCGACTGGAAGGGGGAGGGACTTAGCGTCCGGTTCTTTGCGGGAGATGCTGGATGTACTGGGGAATAATATGTCAGTTTAATAGTTCTGTGAATGTTTGAAGCCATCAAGGAACCTGGCCCGGACGGCTGTTGTCACCGTGAAGGAGTGAGATGCATTGGATTTGCCAGGCACACGGTAGCCTCCTTTGGCAGCGTTGTTTGCCTCGCTTAGCGGCTGGCTTAGACGTTGAAAAGCACTTTTGTGGAATGCCTGCAGAGTAGCGAAAAGTCGGAAATCTCCCGCTCGTCGCTCACAGGTGGGCGGTCGCGCTCACGTTGGCTCAGTTATTCTTCCATATATTCATCGGCGACATCCTCATAAATTGAAAGTCCATGAAGAGGGCGACAGGGACTCGCCATCGACAAATGCGGAAATCCATTCCGCTCACCGTCTCCAACCATGAGCTCCTCGAGAGAGGATAACGGTCAAGAATACGTCTATCCGATTTTACTAGCGTAGAAGTTGATGGTGCAATGGTTGTGGATGCGAATGCATCAGTGCCTGAGCCAGGTACTAGCGGGAATTGAAGAGTGTAGAAGGGGATGCGTTGGGATGACGAGCAATGGTGTCATTGGGTGCGGGATGGTCGATACCTAGTGAGGAATCAAACAAGTTGATCTAGGCGGGGACTGCATCGAGTCGATTTAGTCGCTTCGAGCCTATGAGTTTGCAGTTAGTGGTATGAATCTGGACAATCCCAGACCAGCTCACCACTTTACGTTTCCTTGTACAACCTCCTTCTCGAACCTGGGTAAACATTCAGGCCCAGGGTTTCATATTGCTGCAGGATCGTTCAGTTCCTCAGCAGCAGCAAGCGCAGGAGTGATGTAAAAATATTCGATTGAAAGCAATGGGAACCCAGAGTCCGGCGTGCGAGGGCATTCAGGCAATCAATGATCGTTGTGAATTGCTCGAGCTGTGTACGATAATCCAACCACGTATCGTCTCAGTGAATCTGCATAGAGCTCTGATTAACCTATCTTAGTTGTTCCTGGTAAGCAGCAGTACTTTTATTACATATTGTATTGACAGGACCTGCTTGATGCACCTGATTCAAGAAATATCCTCCAATCTTCTGCTCCTTTCCTCTATTTGAAACTCGACAGCTCGATTCAGGGTGCGCTCTTGTTGGGAGTTCGGCCTCAAAAGCGGTTCATAGCACGCCGAGCTGAGCATGTTGTCGTCAGGACTCAGGACATGGTATCCACCAAAAGCGTTCTGGTGACAAGTTTCTACCCAGGCAAGCAGGAGGGAAACGGGCGTAATGTTGTGACTTTGGGGGAGCTGCAAGAGGAGAGATGTCCCGAGGGAGAAAGCCTAGCCTTCGTGCGACAGGGCAAGTGTAGCCACGACCAATTCAGCAGCGAGAGATGGGAGGGAGGGCAAGAATTTTTCGGGTATACGGATGACAGAACGGGAGAGTGCTAGGGCGCTGAAACCAAGTACTGGCAGAGGAGGAGTTGGGGGAGCTACCTGTGATGGTACTTCGATTATTGAATGCATGAGGTAGCTACTACTTATCATCGAGAGTCGGTTATGTGCGTCGAAGCTTCTGGTCACGTGCAGCCGATTTCACCGAGGTTAGGGAAGATGAAATTGCCGTTATGAATTGGGAAGGGCGGGAACCAGAGGATGGGTTGCCGTGGCAATGCCCCATGCGGGTAACTTGAGGCAGGCAGACTTGGAGGCGCGCATTCAATCACTCTTCCACACCGACCCAAACGATGTCATCCAAAAAGTCAAACAGGAACAAGTCCAAACAGTCGAAGGCAAGAAGGCACATATCTATGCGCCACCATCTTATATATATTTAATCTAACATAGAATGACCCAAATGCTAAGCAACCCTCTTCTGAACCCAAGTCCTCGCTGGACGACAATGTGAGCCAACTGCTGGGCGCCACAATAGCGGCCATCAATGTTACGAAAGACCTCGTACCCATCAACCTGGCGAAAGGCATCCTTGGAACAGTCGCAAATATCCTGATTATCGCGCAGGTGAGTTGGCTTGATCTTCGGAGATTTTTCGTGAAGAATGCTCATGTCTATATAGTCAGTGATCAAGAACAAGTCCGATTTCCTAGCGATAGTCGACAGGTGCGACACTATCAGGAGAGTTCTCGCAAGGGCCACCAAAGATGCTACCCCAGATGATCTGCGAGGATCTTTGGGGGATGCTTTATCGCAGCTTAATGTGTAAGCCGAACCAAATTCACCGTCGCCAGAAACTGATGACGCCATGCAGATCAGTGAACCGCATCAATAGTGAAGTAGCCTCAAGAAAGGAACAAGGATTTTGGAAGAGACTCTTCTCTGTCACGATAGATCGCGACCAGATCGCTGGATGGGAAAAGGACTTAGATCGCGTCCTCGTACTATTCAGTGTATGTTTCTCGAATTCCACCTAAACTTCTGTCGCTGAATGACGTCTCAAGACTGAAGCAATTGCTGGCATCGCGATCAAAGTGGAGAAGCTAACTCTGGGATCGCAGGACAATGCTAATGGGATCGACGGCCTAAAGTAAGTTGTCTTTTCGACCGGTGATATACGTCCTCTAAATACAGTCAGTTGTCGCCTACCTATACCTCCATCACGTCCTTCCATGTTGTATGGCCGCGATGATCTCGTCGCAGAGTTGACGAACCTCGTCGTCAATGATGAGCATATTGCGTTGATCGGTCCGGGAGGCATGGGAAAGAGTTCTCTTGCCAAAGCTATCCTCAACGAGTCCCTTGTCATCGAGAAATTTGCTGATAGGCGCTTCTTCGTGACATATGATGGCCTCGATCCTTCCACCATTACGTTTGACACTTTTATGACTCGTTTCGCAGGAGTTCTTGGCATGCAGCTTGCTGGAGCTGATCCTGTAGGCCAAATATCTTCCTTCCTTTCTTCCGCTAGTGCCCTCGTTGTCCTCGATAATGCTGAGACCTTCGAAGAGGCCAGTGGATCATCGGCGCTCACGGAAATACCACCAGCTATTGCCGACATCGCAGACATCCCCGGCGTCGTTCTGATTCTTACGTCGCGTAGTAGAAGGAATGCACCCAATGTGCGATGGATAACGAAGGATATTCCACCACTAGACTTGAGCTCCGCTCAAGCGGTGTTCTTTCAAATATATCATCACGCCGGTCGTAGCGATGCTGAAGAAGACATAAAGGACCTGCTCAGGGAATTGGATTTTCACCCCCTTTCCATCAACCTACTCGCAAATGCTGCTCAGCAAAATGGCTGGTCTCCAGCGACACTGCTAAAGAGATGGGACAATAGACACAGCGCGGTACTAAACCACGGCGAGGGGAAGCTGCAAAGCTTGTCGTTCACCATGCAGCTATCGCTGAGCTCGCCGTCAGTCGAGAAACTCGGAGATGATGGTCGGCGTGCTCTCGTCGCCATCGCTTTCTTGCCCCAGGGCCTCAATGAAACACTGGCTAGCGATTTGTTGCCGTCGCTCCTGCAAATCGACACTATATGTGATGTCCTATGCAGGCAGTCTCTCGTTTATCGTCAAGGCAGCTTCATCAAGATGCTCGCGCCCATTCGACATTTTGTCCGAGATTCGTTTCTACCACCTGATAGCACTTGTTTGCAAGGAGTTCGCGCCTTCTACTATCGTACTGTTCGAGGGTGTTCAGAAGAAGACAATCACCACACTGATATTGTTATCTCGGATCACCTAAATATTGAGCATATAGTTTCCTTCGACCTTGCACACGTCCCGGACGACGCGGACGAGACTTATGATGTTTGCTGCCGGTTCTTGTGGTGCTTGCAGTCGCATCTACCTCGCCCCACTACCCTTACCCCAGCTATTTTCGACATTGTAGAGAAGTCCTCCACGTGGACGCCAAAAGCAGAGTGCTTGTGGCAGCTAGGCCGGCTCTACTTCGCTCTTTCTCAGCTCGCAGAAGGCATGAAGGCCTTCAAAGCTGCTGAGGCTCTTTACCTCACTGCTGGTGACCACGAGAATGTGGTACAGTGTGTTGCCCGATGTGCAGACGCATACAGAGCTCAAGGCCGGTTCATTCAATCCCAACAGGTCCTGGAAGACTTCCAACACTCTGACTCATGGAAGCATCTGAGCGAAGCAATGAAAGCCTATGCTTGGCATTTCTTGGATATGGCCCGGGTGTACGCTTTCACAGCATCTGCGGACGAATTATTTGTGAAGTCCATGGAAGATTGTGCATGGGGCTTGCAGTCCAAGATTTGGCATTGGCGGGCCAGATTGTACTACGGCGGAGACAGTGTCCAGGTAAAGACACACTTGGACAGCCTTTGCTTGCAATGCCACCAGAATGAAAGTCTCGTCGACCGCAAGGATGCATTTGTGGGGCTTGCAGAAGTTGCATTTTACGAAGGCAGGTTATCCGATGCAATGGATATCCTGCAGAAACTTGTAGAGATGTTCGAGGGACAACTTTCGGACGATGTTTTTTGGTACACCGTCTGGAAGGCTGTAGTTGCGAGCGAGCAGGGGAATCATGACCTTGCAAAGGAGCTCGTCCAGCACGCCTCCGGACCACTCGAATTCCTCGTGCTGCGCAATACACGCGCATTTCTCCACAGAACTTATGCCTCGGCACGCATCGAGCTCACCGCAGGCGAGTGCCACAACGCCGAGTCTCAATTCATTACCACGATCGAAAGTTGCGATATGCAAGGCAACCTGACGTTTAAGGCACGCAGCCTCCGCGGATTGGGAGAGGTTGCCTTTGCGCGCGGTGACTTTGCTGTAGCTGCACGGCGCTTCGCAGAGACAAGGTCTGTGTGCACTGAGATGGGAGTGCCTCCCCGCAATTTGTACAGTTGCTTACCATTCTATGCTTTGCCGGACACATTCGAAGGATGGGCGTTATTTTTGGAGGGCCAGTCGCCATTTGCGAATGTTACTTAGATCATGGTATATAGTGCCTGTTGTACAAAGATTGTATCTTCGTTGTATCTTTGCTGTATTGTGTACGATTTAGCCCAAGGAGTTTCATGATCATACTGACACAAACTGCACCAGGTTTCAGGGGAAAGTAAATCCCGTTCATGCACATTCGAGGTCGAGATAACTGTGTTCAATTCTCTCCATGACAATGCTTTGGGCGAACTCATAATTCTTTCGTCGACGGTCCCAATATTCAATGCATCCATTTGCCAATGTGTACGGCTAACAGCTACAGCCGTCTGCAACAAGGTTGGCACAAGCAATATCGTGTTCGAAATAATTACGGTGTGCGCATAACAATCTATCGCGGACACACCTCGAAATTGAACAATTCCTCATGATAACTCAGGTAATTGTCTTGGTCAAAAATAGTGAAGGCAGTATAATTGGGAACGTGCGTCTCACTACGAGCACCATCTTCAACTTGACGTCAGCATGCAGGTAAGCTTGAACTAAGATGATATCATGGTGATCGACCTGCCTCGAAGGAGAAAAGCGATTCATCCGCAAATGACTGATAGACTGTAGTCCATGAGACAAGTGGTCCGTGATGGAGCGTGAAGTGGGCGAACTTGATTATCAAGCAGTCATTGCAGATTGACTCGAAAACGCCTATCCTCGCCACGTCCACGCCCATACTTCCCCGCATTGTGAGCTCGTGTAATTCGCGTGGAGTCTGATAACAATATTGGCCCAAGTTGAACGCCGAAATCCCATGCGCTCAATTTGAGAAGTGAGTAGTGGTCCAGTCAATGAGTCCGGCAGTGAGGAGTTGAGTAGATCGATGGGTATTCACGTTTGTTGGCATAAGATGACAAGAGTGTTACTGTAGGAGTCATACTGTTGTTAACCTGTCATGTGGAATCTTCGGGGTAATTTTTTTTAATATTTAACGCCAGCAGCGGCGTCAAGGTGCGATGGGTCACTTTGACCAGATGCCCTCCGGCTCATTGAATGGGAGTGATAACCATAACCCAATCTTGCTGTCTAACCAGGAGATGTATATTCAACTCAACGTCCGCATCTGGGATATAAGTTTGAAACTTACATATATCGTCTTCGCGCAGACGTTGAGGGGGAAGAGTTGGAGAAGGGCTTAGATCGGAGAAGGGTTCATTGCTCTAGGAACTTTGTGAACCTGCAATGATTAGTGCTGTTATTGATGCACGTAGGGTCAACGCCCACAAAGGTCAACGCGAATTGGAGAATCAAGTTTCAACATCTTCAATCTTCGACACACGGATCTACTACTGACGAGTTCAACAGCTGCAGCTATCTGCAGCACAAATGGCGCCGTGCTCGAAATGGTATGATGATAGTATGTGAACCAACAGTGCTATGGAAATACGTCATGAATCATGACAAACATAGTAACAGTGATGGATACACCTAGAAGTCGATAATGCCCCTGGAAATATCAGGTGAGTCTCTAGTGGCCCAGCGCCGAACAGGGACGACCAAACCTGGACCACCACAGCTATGAGACGTCCTCACGCATACGAAATTGTTCGCGTGGAACATGAGGTCTTGAGGTTGATACAATCAAACTGAAAAGTGGAAGAGCTTGAAGACAGTTATAAATTACGATGGCTCCCCAGAGCAAGTGTGACACACCCCTGCATGATCTTCGAGTGGGAAGGCACGAAATGCGCGTCGTGAGCGACCGGAGGGGGGAGGGACTGAGTGTCCGGTTCTTTGCAGGAGATGCTGAATGTACTGGGGAATAATAGGTTAGTTTAATAGCTCTGTGAATGTTTGAAGCCACCGAGGAACCTGACCCGGACGGCTGTTGTCACCGTGAAGGAGTGAGATGCATTGGATTTGCCAGGCACATGGTAGCCTCCTTTGGCAGCGTTGTTTGCCTCGCTTAGCGGCTGACTTGGGCGTTGAAAAGCCCTTTTGTTGAATGCTTGCAGAGCAGCGAAAAGTCGGAAATCTCCCGCTCGTCGCTCGCAGGTGGGCGGTCGCGCTCACGTTGGCTCAGTTATTCCTCCATATATTCATCGGCGACATCATCATAAATTGAAAGTCCATGAGGAGGGCAACAGGGACTCGCCATCGACAAATACGGAAATCCATTCCGCTCATCGTCTCCAACCATGAGCTCCTCGCACAGGCTCTCTATTTTGGTGTGAGGACCAGCACTAGATCCGCCCGTTCTGTCATGCCTCAGGTTGTTCATTGGAGGCGTTATCACTCTATGTACTTCAACAGAGCCATCAATAGCCGTGTCCACACCCGTGCCTCGCAAACGTGCCTCAAGCTAGTAGTACATGCGAATGTGCACTTCACACCACCCCTAGAATTTGTGCAGTGCCGCATGCAGCCTATCGGCCCGGGTTAAGCCACCCCTGCGATGGTTCCACACCGGATGGATTTTGTAATGGTTCAGGTGATGAGTCTTGCTGCGAGAAATCGAGTGGATCAATGAAACGTACGAGCGACGACGTTCATTTGGGAAGAGAGGACAACGGTCAAGAATACGGCTATCCGATTTCCCGAGCATAGAAGTCGATGGTGAAATGGTCGTGGATGCGAATGCATCAGTGCCTGAGCCAGGTGTTACCGGGGGTTGAAGAGTGTAGAAGGGGATACATTGGGATAGCGAGCGGTGAAGACAACGTAGCAGATGATGGTGTGACATTGGATGCGGGAGGGTCGATACCTAGTTCTAAATCAAACAAGTTGATCTAGGCGGGGACTACATCGAGTGGATGTAGTCGCTTCGAGTCTATGAGTTTGCAGTTAGTGGTATGAATCTGGACAATCCCAGACCAGCTCACCACTTTGTGTTTCCTTGGACAACCTCCTTCTCGAGTCGGGGTAAACATTCAGGCCCAAGGTCTTGTATTGCTGCAGGATTGTTCAGTTCCTCAGCAGCAGCAAGCGCAGGAGTGATGTAAAATATTCGATTGAAAGAAATGGGAGCCCAGAGTCCGGCGGGTGAGGGGATTCAAGCAATCGGTGAGCGTTGTAAACTGCTCGAGTTGTGTATGATAATCCAATCACGTATCGTCTCCGTGAATCTGTGTAGAGTTCTGATGAGCTTATCTTAGCTGTTCCTGGTAAGCGGCAGCACTTTTATTACATATCGCATTGACAGGACCCGCTTGAAGCACCTGATTCAAGAAATATCCTCCAATCTTCTGCTCCTTTCCTCTATTTGAGACTCGACAGCTCGATTCAGGGTGCGCTCTTGTTGGGATCCTCAAGAGCGGTTCATGATACGTCGAGCTGAGCATGTTGTCGTCATAACTCAGGACATGGTATCCGCCAAAAGTGTTCTGGTGACAAGTTTCTACCCAGGCAAGCAGGAGGGAAACAGGCTTTTTGTTGTGACTGTGGGGGAGCTGCAAGAGGAGATGTGTCCCGAGGGAGAAAGCCTAGCCTTCATGCGAGAGGGCAAGTGTAGCCACGATCAATGCAGCAGCGAGAGATGTGAGGGAGGGCAAGGATTTATTGGGTATACGGACGACAGAACGGGAGAGTGCTAGGGCGCTGGAACCAAGTACTGGCAGAGGAGGAGTTGGGGGAGCTACCTGCGATGGTACTTCAATTATTGAATGCATGAGGTAGCCACTACTCATCATCGAGAGTGCACAGCTGTGAATGGCTCTTTGAATGGATACTTGCATTCCCTTCACGAAGCTAGCTGGCGCGGTTATAACTTACTTATAAGCGTTGAAGCTTCTGGTCACGTGCAGCTGATTAAAGTTCGTACCCAGCCAATTCAGAGCAAGGGAAGATGGAATTGCCGTTATGAATTGGGAAGGCCGAGAACCAGAGGATGGCAATGCGGTGTGACATGCGCGTCTAGTGGCATCACATAATGATAACACTCCCAACACTGCCCCGAGTCCTATTACTTCTCTGAGTATGATAGACACTGGTACGTACCCATAGTTTCTCGCACTCTCCCATGCGGGTAACTTGAGGCAGGCAGACTCGGAGGCGCCCATCCGATCACTGTAACCCTCTTCCACACCGACCCAAACGATGTCATCCAAAAAGTCAAACACGAACAGGTTCAAACAGTCTAAGGCAAGAAGGCACATATCTATGCGCCACCACCATATATATATATAATCTAACATAGAATGACCCAAATGCTAAGCAACCCTCTTCTGAACCCAAGGCCTCGCTGGACGACAATGTGAGCCAACTGCTGGGCGCCACAATAGCGGCTATCAATGTTACGAAAGACCTCGTACCCATCGACTTAGCGAAAGGTATCCTAGGGACGGTTGCGAATATCTTGATAATTGCGCAGGTGAGTTGGCTTAATATTCGGAGATTTTTGGTGAAGAATGCTCAGGTCTATATAGTCAGTGATCAAGAACAAGTCCGATTTCCTAGCGATAGTCGACAGGTGCGAGACTATCAGGGAAATCCTTGAGAGAGCCACCAAAGGTGCTACCAACGACAATCTGCGAGGATACCTGGGGCATGCTTTATCGCAGCTTAACGTGTAAGCCAGACCAATTTCACCGTCATTGGGAGCTGATGACGCCGTACAGCTCAGTGAACCGCATCAACAGTGAAGTAGCCTCAAGAAAGGAACAAGGATTTTGGAAGAAACTCTTTTTTGTTGCGATAGATCGTGACCAGATTGCTGGATGGGAAAAGGACTTGGATCGTGTCCTCGTACTATTCAGCGTATGTCTCTCGATTTTCACCTAAACTTCTACCGCTGAATGACGTCTTAAGACCGAAATGATTGCTGGCATCGCGATTAGAGTGGAGAAGCTAGCTCTGGGACCGCAGGACAATGCTAATGGGATCGACGGCCTAAAGTAAGCTGTCTTTTCAATCAGTGATATACGTCCTCTAAATACAGTCAGTTGTCGCCCATATATGCCTCCATCACGTCCTTCCATGTTGTATGGTCGCGATGATCTCGTCGCAGAGTTGATGAACCTTGTCGTCAATGATGAGCATATTGCGTTGATTGGTCCAGGAGG